AATCCAAAAAGGAACTAGATTAGGACCCTAATAGGGTTAGGAAGGATTAATCTGGCCTGAGCACTGTAGTCTGAGATCTATAGGATGATGTTCCCAGGAGAGCCACCCTACAAGCTTAATGTATCTCTTACTGTGTCCATACAAAATGACTAATATTAAGAAGTAGAATTAAGATGTTAAGGGCTGGAGAGATAGCACAGCGGGTAGGGCATTTACCTTGCATGCGGCCAACCCGGGTTCGATTCCCAGCATCCCATATGGTCCCCTGTGCACTACCAGGAGTAACTCCTGAGTCCAGAGCCAGGAGTAACCCCTGTGCATCACCAGGTGTGACCCAACAAGCAAAAAAAAAAAAAAAAGAATTAAGATGTTAAGTTATTGGATGAAGGAGAGGAGAAACACCCCTAAGTGGCTTTTTGCCCTTGAGCCTGATCAGCATCAGGAAGGGCTTTGATATGTTGATTGTTGCTACTCCCAATGCTGAGAGTTGGGGAGAGACTAGAAAGAGACCAAAGCAGCAAGTGGGAGTGCAGAGACTAGCGAGGGGGAAGGAGGAGACGAGAATCAGGAGAGAATGGAATAAATGGCAACTGATCACCAACCAGCCTGGCCCTCGTTTCCTCCTTCGTCTGCCCATGGCATTGGCTGTCCCTGGTGGGGAAGCGGCGCGAGACCACCAAATGCAGGTGACAAGAGAGAGCCGGGGTTTCCTAGTCGCATGGAGATTACACAGGAGGTAAAACCCTTTTCTTTGTGACCCTTGGGGAGGTGGTCCCCAGAAGCTTTCAGCTGTGTCCCCGAGTCACCTGCTGACCATGCACATCAACATTAGCCCAGAGTGGGGTGTGAAACTCTCCCTGCAGCTTTTCCAGTCCATTACCAGCTGGACTGCCTGTCTGCATGGAATCCTACCCATGGGGGATCCTCGGGAATCTGTGCTGCTGAATCCTGGAACCCCCTTGCGCCCACACTCTGCAGCACCTTAGGCTTTTCTGCTTGTGAATCTTCCAGGTCTCATGATACTTGTAGGGTGATGGAAAACACCTTCAGGAATTTCTGGCAGTTGCTCCCATACTGCGCCCATGTGAGTTACATCACATTCAGCAGAGAACAAGCTGGTTGTAAAGTTTAAGAAGTCCAAGAAATTTGCAAGGTTGTGGGCTAGTGCAGAAGGGTCATAGCAGCAGCCCAGCACCCCAAACCTTTCATCTATAACTGGGCATCCTGCTGGGGTCACAGCTCCCAGTTTTCTCCCAACCTTGACCACCCTTTAGTCATCAGTGACCCAGTCTAAAGGGCAGTGGCATGAGTGGAGTCATAATGCTCATCTGAGGCCCGTGGAGTTTGAACCTGGGCTGGAGTCCCAGGAAGAATGGTGTGCAATGGCTGTCAGGCAAGAGTGTGGCTTCAGACCCCACCTGAACCCTAGAATCACTGATTCTTACCTAAAGACCTAGCTCTGGACTGGGGTACAACAAACAAGAGGCTTTCAGCACCTCTTCAAAGGTTTAGACTTTGCCCAGAAATGGTGATGTAGGCAGCCAGGCAGATAGGGAAGGCCCCCTCCCAAGGCAATGGCAGCAAATTTCCTGGGAAGTCATAGCCCTGACCTCATGGAGAACCGGTGCCAGTCTGTAACAGTCCCTGAGGAAGCTGGACTAACCCCCTCCAACAGAAGCTCCTGCAGAAACAAAAGGCCAGAAAAGGAATTTCAAAGAAGACCATCACCGCTCCCAAGCCCCTTGGCAACCTCCCTAGCAAGGGACTTTTAACCTAGGTAGAAGTCCCTAGGTAGAAGTATGGGGGTAGGTTGGAGATACAAAGGTCACCTTGAACAAAGGAAGGGCGTGCGTATGCTGCCTGAACCCGTGCACTGCTTGCGCCCACGTGGCCGAGCATATGCGGTGCCTGAGCACAGGTGTCGTCCGCATCTCCCCTTTTGAGAAGTGTACTTTCATGTCTAATGCTGGGCTGTGTGTAGGGGCTCTCTCTGTCCAGGTTCTCTCGAGCGTGTTAGTCTCCATTCTCTTCCACTTTCTCTCCCTCTTTCCCTTCAAAATCTCCAAATAAAAAAACCGTACAATTTCACTGCCTACTTCTGAAATTCCTTTCTGCGAGAGGCGAGATGAACCCATTATTCCTGGGTCCTGGGTGGCAGAGGCGGATCGGAGAAAGTGACTGTCTTTCTCCTCCCCACTTCACATGAGCCACCTGTGGGGCCCACCGACATCAATGGGATTTGGACTATTTTTGTCAATGTCTGCAAAAGATTTTTTTTTCAAAATAAACAACCCCCTACTTACTAATTATCTGACCTATAGTTTCTGTCGAAGCAGTGACGGGGGCAGAGCTAAGATTTCTAAATTCACAGAAAGCAAAGGAGATTATGGGATATCAGTTGAATAGGATCCTCATAGTTTTTATTCTGCAAACAAACTGCATTATTTTGTTATTCCTTTTTTGAGGGGTGAGGGGCACCTCTGGTGGTGGTCAAGCAGTACCGTGCTATGGATCTCACCAGGGTTGGACACATGTAAGGTGAATGCTTTAATTCCTATACTAGCTCTCAGGCATGGGCCTCTGGAGTCATTAAACAAAAACATTTCTACTTTATCTTGGCAGTGAGAAATATTATGAATTTATTATGTAACACATCATTGTGCTACTTATCATATGTACATTTTATATATTATATAAAGTGCATGTATAAAAATATATAAAACATGTGCATATAAGTAATTCTATATATTGTATCACTTATTCTATATTCTATAGACATATATATAATCAAGGATTCAGAAGTTCTGACTTAGAAAATAAAAATATCCCCAGACCCCCTTGCTGACACAATTAACCACTTGCTGATATTCTTGTCATTTTCTATATAGAAAGATGTAACTCTATTGCTTTATTAAGTGACATCACACAAAACGTAAGGCTTTCATTTACTGTGGCATATAAAAAATCAAGAAGAGATTATATTTAAAAAAAGCAATTACATGCTATTGCTTTTCATACCTAACCATGTATTTTGAAGATGTGTCCATGTTGGTACCTCATTAACATGACCTATTTCGTGTCTTTTAACAAGAAGAGATTGTTCCGGGTACAGGGATGGAATCTGGTTCCCAAACATGAGGCACACGCTCTACGGCTGTGCTCTAACTCCATTCCCTAGCTCGTCTTAAGGCATGGGGGAATCTACAAAAGGAAGCAAACCATGCCACCTATAAAACTTGTTTTCTTTTCAGTATTATTTCTGGTTTATTTAGGGTAGGAGAACGCCTGAAACTAATTTTCAGAAACTTTAGATCTTGCAAAATAAAAACCCCATGGGAATGGGGGATTGGACTGTCTAAGGACATGCGAATGGAAAAGACTTTGCCATTCTAACCATTTCTTTTCCCGATTGGATTGATTAGACAAAAGAAACCCTTGTGTGCTAGGAAAATAGCACACATGAACATGATATGTCCATGGTCACGTGGCCTCTCCGCATTCCCATGTCTTAATCCTGGGAACTTGTGATGCTGTGACCTTATAAGTGAGATGTTGCCCGTGCATGAAAGATGGCAGATTATCCTAGTTTTTCTAAGTGGATTCAGTGTAATCTCAGATCTTTTGTAAGGAAAAAGGGGAGACAGGAAAGTCAGACAAGAGATTAGAAGAGGCTATTTTGCTTGCTCTGAAGATGAAGGAGGTGGTCACAAGCCAAGGAGCACAGGCAGTCTCAGAAACCAGGAAACAGAAGGAAGTCGTCCTTTTTAGAGCCTCTAGAAGGACTGACTGTAGCTCAATGTGATTATGACTTTAGCACTGTCCTCCCGTTGTTCACTGATTTGCTCGAGTGGGCACCAGTATCGTCTCCATTGTAATACTCCATTGTAATTACTATTTTTGGCATATCGAATATGCCCTGGGGAGCTTGCCAGGCTCTGCCCTGTGGGCGGGATACTCTCGGTACCAGGGTCTCCAAGAGGGAGGGAGGAATCAAAACTGGGTCGGTTGCATGCAAGGCAAATGCCCTACCTGCTGTTCTATTGACTTTAGTCTCTGAAAATCCTTTTCACCTAAATTCCTTGAATTGTAAGATAATCAATTTGTGTTGTTTCAAGTCTCTAAGTTTGTGGTAATTTTTTTACAGCATCAAAAAGAGGTACCCAATGAATGATAGTCAAAACCCTTCCAAATTCTCAGAAGCAGTGGCTGTGAGATGTGATCACCTTGGCACTATGGTTCTTCTTGCCTCATTCCATATTGCTTCCTATTTGACACAGTACATTACTTAAACATTTTAATTCATGTAATCATCTCTTTCACCCTACTTATGAGATAGGTTGTTTCCATTTTACAAGTTATTTTCATTTTATAATTGAGCACTGTATTTATTGTATAACTATATTGTACAATAAAACAGTGTATCATAAACTCAAAACGAAGCAGTTCTTAGTTTTATTCAACTACTATAAAGGCCGTGTCCATCTAGGTGTACTGATCTTGTTACACATCCCCCTCATTCCCCTACCATAGAAACTTTGACTTTTTTTTTTCTATACAGCTACTTATCATATTTTCCAGTTACTCATAATCTCTGCTCCATTCTCTAACCTCCTCTCCTCGTTGCTTATGTATAGGAAACATGGGAAGGGGTTAAAAGACCAAATTAATGGTTTGGGTGAGGAATACTCAATACCTGGAGTTGTCTATAGCCAAAGGGAATGCCATATTACAGTTCTGGGTAACCTCCATGGTATTACAATTGCATAGTATTTGGCAGAGTATCTGTGATACACATCGTTTCATAATGAAAATAATGCTAAGGAAATTGGTTTTACTTGATGTCAATAAGAAGTTTTTAAACAGTTATATCTATTAGAAACATCCCTAAGCACTGAGACAGTATAAATAAGAGGATAGTTTGCATTTATAAAGATTCGGAAGCTTAAGATTTCAATAAATTGTCTAAAATGTTCAGAAAATAAACTGAAGTCTGGTTGATTGTATAATTTTAATATTTGCAAAATTTTATCCAGGAATTAACAAACAACTTAATACAATACAGATTTGTACCAAAAAAAGAGGGACTATTAAAAAATTTGGGATCATACAGACAAAAATATGAGTAAAGATTAAAAAAGGATGGGACATTTTGTAAATACTTATAAATACTGTGTAATGCTTTAATTTACTGTGGCAGATAAAAAATCAAGAATTAAGAGATTATATAAAAAAAGCAACTACATGACAGTTCTAGCTATTTAACAAACTAACAGTAGTGGTTTTTAAAAAATGAGGTATTATTACACTGTAAACCAAAACAAAATACAAATAAAGGCAATGTGTAATTTAGTGATAAATGGTTATAAATTTAACTAAACAACAGACAACAACACTGTCCAGTTATTTATGGACTTTGTCATTTAAAAATTTGGCTTGCTTGTATACTTATTTAAAAATGAAATAGCTATCAATATACAAGCATATCATGAAACATGCAGACCAAGCCAACACAATGTTTCCGTCTCTACCAAATAAAAATCTTTGTTTACATTTTATTTAAAACATTTAAATCTGGTTTCTTACACATGATTCTTTTGTGCTTATTAGTTAATAGTAACCTACAATAAACATCTTACTTTCTAGTTCAAGCAATGCAAGAGAGAAGCAGTTTTATTTGCACATGGATTAAATATAGAGCAAGTCAAACCAAGCTAACATGTCTTTAACCTGTCTTCCAAGAGAGGTTTAAGAACAAAAATCTTTTTAAATAGTGTATTCGAATGGAAAATCAGAGCCACTTCTGTCTCAAAGAGAACAAACAGTAAACTAGTAACTCCTTTTCCTTCCTCAGGGATTCCTGGATTGGCTTCAAAACTGCTGAAGAACAAGCTGACTGGTCCCTCCACCCTCAAAGAATTCTGCTGGTTGGGCGCAGGAGGCATGGCAATAAGAGAAGAACATAACTCAGAAAGAGCTTGGGAAAGTATTATTTATGTGTGACCCATATGCTGGTACTAAGTGCTGGCATCATTGTTATTGCAAATAATATCTTCAGAGTTCTCTGAAGGAAAGCTATCAACGTAAAATATTAGATCTGTGATTTGGAATATTTTAACATGCTAATAAAACTGCTTCATTTGCTATAAATTAAAAGAAAACCATTTACTATCTGACTTAAAATGCAATTTTTTTTCACATGCTACTTTATTAGAAACTCCGTAAAGGGTATTTTTAAATTTACTGTCATATGAATTCAGTAAAAATGAACATTTTGGTCAAAATGTTGAACTTCATTTTCACATGTCAAATCATCTTAACACAAATGTTACTATTGTATTAACTTTTGACAAACATCTCAACTTTTTTTTTGGAAAGTAGAGCTTTAGGATCAAAAATTATTAGAAATAATTCTCATATGTCAAAGTCTATATAAAAGCTTTCTTTTGTGCTTATGATTATCAATGATTAGTTAGATCCAATTTGATTTTTAATATACAGACCCTTAAGAAGAAATAATCATTATACAAATATTACGGTTACTGGTTTACTGCCAGTATGCATGCAGACTAACAATAATACTTAAAAGAACATAACCTTGAATCCAATTAGTTTGAAAATAGTTACACTCTTGTACAGTCATCTTTATTGATTTGTAAAAGCTGTATACACATCTAAAACCCTGAATTTGCTTTGTAAAAATAAATCTTTAGCAATAAATGACACTATCAAAATCCCATTATTCGCAGGCTATTATATAGTTATTTACATGCTTTTCAGCAACAGCTGAAAAGAATCTTATAGAACCAAAGCCAATAATATCAAAAAACCCCTGTTAATTGCATTTGCAATTATACTGTTGTTTACCTCTGTATGAAAATAGGGCTACATGCCTCACATTAATGATAATGTAGTTCTCTGCATGGCCACGAGGGTCTCTGTGTCACCAATGCATTCTTTACTGTACTTTGCTTTCCCAGTGAAACACCGTGACAGACAACTTCTAGAGACTGATAAAGTGCTATTAAAAAAGTGACTCGACCCAGGCCTCTCTGCCATCTTGTCATTTCTCACTCAAGCAATTTCTGTGTTAAAGAAAATCATGCCTTTTCCAATGAACATGTGTCATATTTCATTTAAAAAAATCAGTATTTGAAAGTTGGGAAGTTTTGTGAAGATGTTTTGAGACAGAAACATGAAAAGGTTAAAGGCACAATAAGAGGGAAATAATGCTACATATAAAATATATTTCAAGTCTTCTAGGTTACTCAAGTCCAAAACCTTCTGAATTTGAAATTCCAATGATCAATTTCTGTTTCAGGTCCTTTTTGCTCTTGTAGGGAGGAAGGCAAAGTTGATTGAAGCAGGTGTGGGCTATAGGCAACCTAGGGAAAATTTTTCTTTAAAGAAATTGTGTCTCAAAATATACAGAATGACTCACTGCAAAGCAATTTTCAAAATATCAGGGCATACACATTTAAATCTATTTTAGGCTCATAAGTAATATCTCATGAAATTCTTTACTGAACAAATATTTAAAGAATACCTGCTATTATCATTCTCGATCCTGGGATAGGTTCTTAGGCAGGTTAGTCAATGTCTCATGTAAAACATTCATACTATAAGCGTTATTTTTGCTGTTATGTCTAAACCTAACTCTGCATATTATCTGCCCAACTTGTTCAAGTTGCTTCATGTCTCTGAACCTCAATTTCATCATTCTCATTACTGGGTATAAACTACCCAATTGGGATGTTTAAAGAACTATCTACACACACAAACACCCTGCAGAACAACAGATCATAGACAACTTTACTACTTTCTCTGTTTTGACTGTCAAACATAATGAACAATTTTGGTGATATTTAGTACCCACATTTCAATACTGCTGCCTCTGAACCCTTTGACCTGCTTCCTCTCTACTTAATTTTCTTCAAGATTTCTACAAATACCTTAGACCTTCTACAGACTCCGTAGAGTGAGAAAAGCTGTCATAGAGGCCAGGCGAATAAAAACAGGAGAATACCAAAAAAAAGAACATTTAAAAAGAAGTTTATATGATTAAATATTAAACTTTTGAGAAGCCACCTATATATTGTAAAACTTAACTTCTGTTTTATTTTGAGGCCACACCTGGCTCTATGGTCCAGGTTCACTCTTATCTCTGAAACTACATGTAATGTTGGGGATCGAATCAGGTTTGGCTGCATGCAAGGCAAATAAATACCTTACCCACTGTATTAACTTTTTGTACCAAATTTTTAAAAAATCAGCATTTACTGCTTGTCTGATGGTCTGATGTATGGCAAACACTGAGCTATGTGCTTTTATGTAATGTTTCATATAAGCTTCCAAGTAACATAAAAAGTAATTTTTATTACCCACATCTTACACACACACACACACACACCACAGATCTTAGTAATCTGCACAATACTATGAAGCTTGTAGAATTGTAAATCTGAGACTTAAATACAGGTAAACTTGACTTAAAAAAATTCTATTTAATAAACATCTAGAGAATCTAAGATTAAGCTACATATTTTTCATGCTTGGCTATATATAATATAGATGAACTTCACTGGAAATCCAAAAGCTATTGAAAACGGATGCCTAAGTCATGTAAGTTCACAAAATAATCTCTGAAATAAGAGTAATGGAAAAGGGCAAATGGAACGCTATCTTTGTATTACAATATTAAAATATATATATATATCACCCTTGGTAGATTAATACAATTTTTATATAAAATATTCTGAACAAAATTTTTGGCAAGAAAAAAATCTGTAATATTTAAAAATTTTTCTTGAATTATTTTTCACATCATTTTTTATTGTCTTTAACTATAAATATTCTGAAAGTTATATATAAGTATTTGTTTCATATCTAAAATATAATTTTTAGTTGACTTAAATATTGATTCAGTAAGCATTGGGAATCTGACATATATATACATATGTATATAGGTAAATGACTATATGAAGAATACAGAGCAGAGTGTGGTAGGAGCTCTGCTTTGGGGGCTAAGATTACAGTGTAATTGAGGGCTGGAGAGATTGGACACCAGTTAAGGCACTTGCCTTGCATTCTGCCAACTCTGATTTGAATCCCTGGTGATCTCTCCTTAGTACCACAAGGAGTCATATAATTGGCATATAACTTTATAGAAGTGGCATATAACTTCTAAAAATATGTGAGAGCTTACTGAAGAAAGAATTACTTCTATTTTTACAGAGGAAATAAAATTTTAAACTGGGTCTTTAAGGAAGGTAGAGTTTTCACAAATACTGAATAGCAGAAATATCACATACAAAGAAAACCACTTAAAGGTATGGAGGAATAAAAGTCCAAAACGTGTCCAAAAAATAGAAAACCAGTCTGTGAAACCATAGGAAGAAGTGAAAATAGAAAAATTTGGGGAAACGATCCCAGTGCTTTGACAGATTTTAGATTCTGAATTTAAACTGAAATACTAGAAAGGCAAGACTCTGACCACGCAGACCAGGAAGGAGGCTATTTAGGCAAGCCAGAAATGAGGCCCCAGAGCAATCAAACCAAGGTGGTGGTAATGACAGAGCAAGAAAAACCTTTCATTTTCAGTTAGAAAATGAAAGAAAAATAATTTTTAAAAGAAATTATTTTAAAAATGATTTTATGTTTGAAAAATGATTTTATGCAAAATGAAAGGTGTAGGGGTGAGGAGAGTGTTCAAAGGGCTGGAGCATAAGCTCTGATGTGGGAGGCCTGGTGCGGTTCACATCACATGGTCCCCAGCGCCACCTCCAGCCACGGGCCAGGAGAGCTTCTGGGTGAATAGGGCTCAGGATCCTTCAAGCAGTGCCTGCTCAAACTGGCTATAGAAATGGCAAAGTGTTGGGGGTGCGGGAAAGAGATCAGAATTAATCTATCAGCACTACCAGAAAGTAATTTAAAGCTACCACTGTCGTTACTGTCACATGTGATGAGCCACAGATAAAAAGGGAGACTAGTATTAAAGGTACTTCATGATCTAGAAGGACTTGTGCTTTTTAGTACTAACAGCCCTACCAAAAAGATAGCCCACCATCATATTTTTAAAGAAATACTTTTAAACAAAAATGTCAGATTATATATTATTGAAAATGAGTTAGGTCCTAAAAAAGATTACAAAGCAGTTGGTTTACCACTGTGAAAAGTCGATGGAAAAGAATTACCACTTAGTATTGGTATGTTTCAAGAAAAATATTTCTAGGGTGAGGCCACACGTAGAGGTGCTTGGGGGTCACTCTTGGTGGTGCTTGGGGGGACCATGTGAGGTGCTAGGATTGAATGGGGGTAGAGCTGCATGCAAGGGCAGACCTCACCCTATACTAGCTCTCTGGCCCCCATGTCAAAAACTAATAGAAAATCTGCAGTCATAGTTCCTTTTCACTTTGAGGCTATGTTTAATCTCTCTCTCTCTCTCTCTCTCTCTCTCTCTCTCTCTCTCTCTCTTTCTCTCTCTGTGTCTTTCTCCGCATCTGGTGATTCTCAGTGGTTATTTCTGACTCTGCGCCCAGGGGTCAATCTTGGCAGGTTCAGGGGACGACAGGGGATGCAGGGATCAAGTCTGGGTTGGCTATGTATTGTGAGGAAAGGACCTCACTGGCTGTGCTATCAATACCTACAACCCCAATCAAGATACCTGTTTAAAAAGATTACTCTGTAGTTCCAAATTACGATGAGCAAAACTTAAAGATTAAAAATAAAATTACAATCTGGAAATTTACCAGTTAGTAGAAGTTTCATTCTTTGAGATTTTAAAGTTCAAATCAGCCATTCCTCCTACAGGTACTCTGTCACTTCCTGTAGTAAAATGTAGCAACTTCTTTTGAAGATCAAGAGGAAATCCAAATACAACATCCCAAAAATATCTAGAGAATACCAAAACAAATATTTATAATGTAACTTGACAAAAGTTTTATAGGTAAGAATAAAATAAGATAAAGTAAACTCTAGAAAAAAGTGGTCTTAATATATAAAAATATATGATCTTTGTGAAATATAAAATTAAAGATATGCTTCAATATACTAATCGGAATTCTGACTAACATTATTATAAAAATAACACTTTTATAAAATTATAAAAGCACTCTAACATTGCACAGTACAAAAGCCATTTTCTCCTATGTAATTTACCAGTCTTATTTTTCAACAAGTGCTATTAAAATTCTATTTATAAGTACTGAATTCCTGATATTCTGGAACCAAAGTTATTTTTTTAAAAGTAAAACTGCTATAATTTTATGGAAACATATTTGCATCACTTTCTCCCAAGGGGAGTTGCCAGGAGATTTTATGTTTTATGGAGATAAAATAAGGCAGTGTGAAATTCTAAGTGATTCAGCTAATTTACTAGATTCAAGACTGTAAGTTATACGGTGTTTATTTTGGTTTGGGGGCTGCATCTGGCAGTGCTTAGTGCTTATTCCTGGCTCTGCGCTCAGGGATCATTCCTGGAGATGCTTGGGGGACCATATAGGCTGCTGGGGATTGAACGCAGGTCTATCATATACAATGCAAGTACCTTAGCCCTGGTACTATCTCTCTGACCTACCGAGAAAAATGAAGCATGTCCTCTGTCACCCCCGCTTCAGTTCCTTCGTCCCCAGAGAACGCACTCACCTTATAGTCAGGTCGGTTTTGGCGTAGCCATCATACTGAGTACTTCTCTGCAGCGCATGCATGTCCAGTTCTGGACTTCCACACACCAGAATTTCAACTTCCTCTGGACGAAGCAGCTAACAATAATTATGTATCAAAAGTTATCACTTTTTGAAAGGCAGATTTACAAAAAAACATTGGAACTATCCTCATGGAATCAAATTACAAAAATTATAATTTCTCTTATCAAACAATTTTTTTATAAAGAAAAGGTTTCATTAAAAAACTTTCCTACTGAGGTAAGATTACTTTTGCTTCTAGAAGTTTATAAATCTTGTGAAACTATTAGGTTCCCCTTTGTGTCATAAATAAGTTTTCTTCCAGGAAAATAAGCAGATGACCAAGCACAAATCTAAATTTCAGTTCTTCGAAAGGGAATGCCCTGCCACAGAGGCAGGGTGGGATGGGGGGGGAATGGGGGGTGGGAGGGATACTGGGATCCGTGGTGGTGGGAAATGGGCACTGGTGGAGGGATGGGTATTTGATCATTGTATAATTGACATCCAAGCACAAAAATTTGTAAGTCTACAACTGTACCTCATGGTGTCTCACTAATAAAAATTAAAGAAAAAAATTTTAGTTCTTTTACAAAACACAGCTTGCAATTTTCTTTTAGTTACTCTCTAGCAGGTTTTAGTTTCTTCAACTGGGAAAACATTTGGCCTCCAGGATATCCCTAGGGGGCCATAGGTGAAAACTGCTAAATGTAGGGGTCACAGTATGTATGAGTCTAGGAGAGGCCAACCAATAGGACGGGGTTAAGGGGGGACAACAAGGAAACAAGGATGGAAGGGAGCCATGGTCGGGAAGAACTCTAACAAACCCCGCTCAGCATCTACTCATCTGCCTCTCCCTCTTTCAGATGTCCCCTAAGACATCCTGTATCGTCACAGAATGGTCACAGTCCTCCCATTGTTCATCGATTTGCTCGAGCAGGCCCAGTAACGTCTCCATCATGAGACTTCTTGTTACTGTGTTTGGCATATCGAATATGTCACGGGGAGCTTGCCAGGCTCTGCCGTGCGGGCGAGATACTCTCAGTAGCTTGCTGGGCTCTCCGAGAGGGGCGGAGGAATCGAACTCGGGTCGGCCATGTTGGCCACTTGTAAGGCAAATGCCCTACCGCTGTGCTATCGCTCCAGCCCAAGACATCCTGTATAGGCTGCTGAATTTGGGGTTGGGGACTTTGTTTCAATCTATCTTGTATCATGTATTTGTTACTATATGGGCTGAACTCCTTGTAAAGAGATTAAAATGTAAAAATAGAGATCTGTCTATGCCATTCCATTTTTATTTTCTCTCTTCCAAATCCACAACTACCCCTATGTCAGAGATAAAACTCAACCAGAGCTAAAGGAAGTGATTTCTTTTCAAAGGTAATTTCAACAGCATATTTCATATTTTTGATAAAGCCCTTTCCTATGAAGTAGGTGGGTAGATGGTGGCGGGCTAGAAATGCTAATTGGGAAGTAATAAAAACCAGATGGATTTAAAGTAGTTACTCTGTCACTAGCCCTAATGTAGCCAAAAAGCATTAAGACCAAACCCCTCTGTGGACAGAGAGACTGAGGCCTGATAAGACTATAACTGGCACCTGAATCACCATCCCAGAGAAGGCTGGACACCTCCAACCTCCACCCCAGAGAAGTTCTAGCAGGGGCACAGGGTTGTGATAAGGACATGAAAGTGGACACCACGTTTCAAGCTCTTCCTCTTAACAACATGCTAGCAATGAAGTCTTTAACCTAGACAGAAAGCCCCAGGTGGGGGCAGTCTGGTAGAAACTGATAAATCTAATTCTGCAAAGGCAAATGGGCACTTCTGCATTTTTGGGAGTAGACTGCATCTCCATCTGAGGTGTGTACTCTCAGTTTTCTCCCTCTTTCTCTCTCTCTCTCTCATTAAACAGACTGTTTTACTTCATTATTCGTCTTCTCCTGAAATTCTTTTCTGCTGAGGGAAGGTAACCTCCAGGAAAGCCTGGGGGAAGATTGTGGACTGTTTTTCCTTTCCTGCAAAGAGCAGTTCCTTGCTCCAGCCTGGGTTCCACGGCTCCCAGAGATATATGGAGCAAGAATCATTTCTCATATCCAGCAGAGCAAGTTCAACCAGGTTCAGTTTGACAACTACTCTGCGGGGCTGGTGAGACGCACAGTGTAGGCACTTATTGTAGTCTTGCATTAGTCCTAGATTTCTGCAGGAACTTCCCCTGCTGACTGGGTACCAGAGTAACCAAGGGAAGCGGTGGACTTCCCTCTCGAGAACGCCACCTCTCTTCTCCCTGCTTTACCACATAAGTCACTGGCAACAACTATGAAAAGTAATTTAGATAAAAGACCATCTCCAAAGAAAACTGAGGGGCGAGACAAGAAGCATACACAGAACATGCCCTCAGCAGTTTAGGTGAAGGGCAAAGGTACTCTTAGGAAACAATGTTTAATGATATATTCAACCTGATGTCCCAGATAGGAGCTGACCCATGTTCACATGGCGAGGACAATCAGGAGAGTCCTTCATTACCACTGGTGACACATTACTCTTGGAAAAAGGCAACTCAACTCAGACCTGCTGGGTATCCTTGAAGCAGCAGGCAGCAATTACTGACTTTTGCTCTGGAGTTTCTGTGTTAACTCCGCTTTTATCCTTTCAGCACTAAGACCCTGAGCCCAGGAATCTCTTCCTCTGCTTTGCTTATGGAAATTTTTAAAAGCCTTGAAAAAACAGCATGAAATATAAGGGGAAAGAAATAAAGCTGACTGGTCTTTTTCTGCTTTAAAGAATCAAAGCTAAAACGAAAGAATTATTTTCACTACTATCTTTCAAATGCCAAAAATGCTTCCTATTTTAAAAGTATATATCTACTAAAACACATAAGGAATAATCTATCACAAGTATAGTATTACCAAACCTAATTGAATGTATAATTTAAAGTTTAAACTCACCATGAGGGCATTTGAAGCGCACACACTATGAAATCCATAATAAAATGCAGCAAACTGCTTATAGATGGATTTGTTGAGAAGAAAGTCAATATAAAGCTGCACATATTCTGGAAAGCAATTTTATACCTTTTAAATAGTGAAAGTAAATATTTAAGACTAATGAATTTTAATTAAGAAATGGTTCCTAACCTACCTTTCCTATTTTGATTGGTAACTGGAATTTTATCACCACCTGGCTTTAAATTATAGGACTTTATAATTCCAAATTCTTCTTGGAAAACCTTATGGGGAAGTAAAACATATTTATTTTAATACAGTAATAGGCTTTATTGAATAGTTTATAAAATTAAAAAAAGAGTTGGCTTTTCTTTCCAAATGCACCAACTTCATAAAGGTGATTTACATCAAATGGTATTTTTCATGTCGAAATGCATGGTTAGAGAAGTCATTTGCCCTTAAGAGTACCTGAAATGTTGAATAGAAATCTTCTTCAACATTGCCTTCATATGACAGGAGTTCATTTAATCCATGGGCCAACTCCTGTAAAGAAAAACCTGTTACCTACATTTTAAAATAAATAGAATTACCTATAAGAGGATAGCAGATCTACTATAGGTGTTACATAATGTGGCATAATGTGTTACATAATGTGACAGAAACGTCTTCAATTTTGAAATAAATACTTAAGGTATATTTTTCAGGGTACAAAATACTTAATGATTTAAAAAGTCTTGAAAAAACTGACTGAAAAATCATATATAAAGAAAATATCCAGTGCAAACCATAAAAGCATAACTTTGAGGACTATTCTTAAACAACAAGGAAGGAACATAATTTCTATAATAATCCATTCCTCGCCATAAAACTTTTATGGCTTTACTTTATTTTTCACTTTTAATTTATGTCATTAAAATCTACTATATTTTATCTCACCTTTTAAACATAAATATATATCGTTCATATATGTATTAGGTGGATTCTATATTGTGGTTATTGTGCCCTCTACTTCCTCCAAAAGTCTGAGGAGAACACTGGAAGAAATATTTTCTTACAATGTTATAATTCATCACCAAATTAGAAAAATTAACTCCAAGAAAAACATCTGTAGACTAAAAAAACTGAAGTTCCAATTTACTTTAAATGACTAGAAGATGGCTGTTGTATTAGAACCATTTACATGCTTTACACATGGTATAATTTTAATTTCATTAAAACTATAAGAATTTAATAGGGACTTCCCCAATGGTGCTTGTGATCAAGTGGCCACTTGTGTTACTTGGCCAGTGGTGCAGGCCTGTTGGTAAAATTATATATTTTATACACATATAGGCTAACGCAGAGTTGATATGATTATATCATCAAGATGTGATTTTTATTTTAAATTTTTATTATTACTGGGCTGGAGCAATAGCATAGTGGTAGGATGTTTGCCTTGCAAGCGGGCAACATGGCCGACCCGAGTTCGATTCCTCTGCCCCTCTTGGAGAGCCCGACAAGCTACCGAGAGTATCTCGCCCGCATGGCAAAGCCTGGCAAGCTACCCAGGACGTATTCGATATGCCAAACACAGTAACAAGTCTCACAATGTTACTAGGCCCACTCGAGCAAATCGATGAACAACGGGAGGACAGTGCTACAGTGCTATTATTATTATTTTTTCCTTGGGGAGGGCATACCATCTGTGCTCAGGGCTCACTCCTGACTCTGTTTAGAGATCACTCCTGGCAATATTTGGGAGACTAGATGAGGTGTGGGGATTGAATCGGGCAGGGCCTATTGCTTGCCTTAACCCTTTATTATCTCGTCAGTCCTGAGATGTATAATTTTTATTATGAAGCTCTGGGACTAGCTGGGCAAGTTTTCTTTCAAAGACTGTTGGGTATTTTGTTTTAAAGACTGTTGGGTAACAAATACGAAGTAGGTCATGAAGCTAAGTGCTCAGTCTACTTTATTCAACGTTAGGTCTTTTATTCTCAGACTTTGTATTTTCAATCTCTTTTTTTGTTGAGAATCATTTTGCTTACCCCTACTGTTGATCTTTGTCTCTTACCTATAATATGCTTTCTCTAAAACATGAATTACCCATGTAATTAGACTTTTTTGTGACTTGGAAAATCTGCAATTTGATGGAGCATTTGAAGATCAGAGAAGATCATACTCTGAATACTCTGATATTATTTATAGAGCCTGTGTATGAGCAACTTCAGGATGAAAAGAGATACAGTTTCCGATTCAAGTTTATGCCTACTTTCCCTTGCTTCTCCACTAAACTTTCACAAGTAATTTTCATCAGAGTGTGCTGGGACGATTTCTTCTTACTGCTGGACAACTTTGATGTTTAGGTGATGGATCTTCCTTCTCTCTAGAGAAACAGTGGAACATTCCTAAACATGGTAATGAAAGTTTGTTTATTAACACTCCAGAATTAAAAGCTCCAAAGTTTCTCTTTTTTTCATTTTTTGTTTTACATTCATAAATAATATGTTTAAATTAACTAACATATCTACTTGGGCTTAGTGGATGGTTTGGTGACTAACAATGGCCTCCCATGCAAGCGTGAGGTTATGAGTTTGATCCCCAATGCTGCCAGACACACCACACTCAGTCCTGCTAGCTCTTCTGTATGGGACCCTGGGACTGCAGTGGTGTTTGATCTCTGGTATATAGCTGGGTATATATGAGAACTGCAACTAGAAGAAGTGTGTGACTCCTGAACAGCATCTCAACTGAAAAAAAAATGTGCAAGCACCATGGCCAGAGCATGACCTTCAGCAACCACTCCAACCAGAACGTGTATGGGCACCGCAACCAAACGAGAGTGACCCTCGGACAACACAAGTGTAAGCACTGAAACTGAGGTGTGTGATCCCCAGCAAGCACAATCAAGTGTGTGGCAGGGGAAGGGAGAAGAAGAGAGGGGAGGGAGGGCAGATACCTATCTGCCTACCATAAATTGCTCTTCTTGTTTACTCTGCTTAACTTTTTTTCTGTTTGGGGGCTATACCTGGCAATGCCCAAGAGTACTCATGGCCTTGCACTCAGGAATCACTCCTGGTAATGCTCAGGGTACCATATGGGGTGCCAGGGACCAAACCCTGGGTCTGCTATGTGCAAGGTTTACCTGCTGTACTATCTATCTGGCTCCTGCTTGAAAAATTTCTAAACTTGGATTTTTATACTGCGTACAAATATAAATGGTAATAAAGAACTGAATAAAAAAAGTACTTGAAACCATTTTGTGGATATGATTTTACTATCATTAAGTGAAATTGTGTGGAGCGATAGCACAGTCGCTTTGCGCACAGTCAGCCTGGCTGAGCCGGGTTCAATTCTTCCGCCCCTCTCGGAGAGACCGGCAAGCTTCTGGGAGTATCTCGCCCGCACGGCAAAGTGTGGCAAGCTCTCCGTGACGTATTCAATATGCCAAACACAGTAACAACAAGTCTCATGATGGAGACGTTACTGGGCACGCTCGAGCAAATCGATGAACAATGGGAGGACAGTGCTACAGTGTTAAGTGAAATTAGGTTGCAGCTTTTATAGATGTATTAATAATCATTTCATTAAAAGTATTTTATAAATTACCCATATTCCACTATCCTAAGACAGTTTTTATGCTTCCTTTCATTCTTTATTAATGTACAGTCATTAATGCTTAGTTTTTCTTATAGTGTATCTCATATACAGTATATGCAAAATCTTGATGCAAAAGGCCAAACAGGAATATGTAATTAACTCACTGTCATCTTTAGTCACCACTGTAATATAAAAGAGTGTTTGTATAGTCATTCATAAATTATTTATTGCAAACTAAAAATAGGAAAATATAAATCAAATCTGAATAGCTTTCATTATAAAATTAAGCAGATAATGACAAAAGCCAATCAAATTAGGAATTTAGTAAAAATTCTGCAAAAACTGAATACATGCAACAAAAACAATCATAGGGCTCTAAAATGAGATGGTAACTCAGAGATTATTCCCATAGGTTGCAAAGGAGAAAATTAAGTCAATCATTTAGGATCAAGCTTGTATGCTGCAGATCTAAGACTAGAGAAGAAAGATCTTTCAATTTCTAAATCAGAGTAAACTCTCTTATCACACAGTTTTTCTGACTACCAAGTCTTTTTTTTTCTTGTTTTTCTTTTTTTAATTTTCTTTAAAAATATGGACTGCTTCACGAATTTGTGTGTCATCCTTGTGCAGGGGCCATGCTAATCTCTGTATCGTTTCAATTTTAGTATATGTGCTGCCGAAGCAAGCACTGACTACTGAGTCTGATACAAATGTGAATTTAGGCTTTAGACTCTTACTCTGAAAGAAATCATATCAACTTCCAAAAATATGTTTGATATTACCCTTCCCCAAATAGGTAGTATGAAGAGTGATTTTCTAATTGGAACTGCATTTGGGAAAAGTTTCACAGAAGGTGCCAGTCCTATATGCCAGTCCTATACCAAACTCAACTGACCAAGGCATACTTAGATAAGTTCTTAGTATGACACAGAGAATGTCCACATGCGGTATACGCTGAGTATTCCTGCGGATTTTTTTGCTGACCAACAGTTATCAAATTGCAGATTACTCATGGGTTGTCAGCATGGTAATACTTTCCATTTCTTTGGCCAATTTTAACCATGGACCAAATTTAGTGATTCAAATCTATATTTATGAACTGAGGGATGTAATATGAGACAGTTATATGAAATTAATTTACTGTTTTAGAGATTCATAGTAAACAGTTCTAGTGATACTACACAGTAACAGTTTAATGAGGACTGACAGAAACAATCACTCACTAAGTGTTCTATTATCTCATACACAGTGGATCTCAATTAGCTCTCCAGTATCTAATATTTACTGATGTAAGCAGTTAGACAGAGAAGAGCCCCCATGGTAATGAAATTCCTTGGGAAGTAATAACTATCTACCCTAAGGCTGTCAGGACCCAACTTAGGGATCTGACAAGACCTGACAAGAGCTTTATCTGGAGCTAACCCAGACCAGAGAAGGCTGGACTCATCATTCAAGAGAAACTCTAGCCAGAACAAAGGCCAAGAAAAGGAATTTCAAAGAAGACCATCAACCACTTCCATCTCTACCCACTTGGCAACCAGCCTCGCAATGGCTTAACTAGCTAGAAAGCTCCAAGTGGGGAAGTTTGGGAAAACCTTATAAAAGCCAACTTGAACAAAGGAAGCACATGCATATGCTGCCTGAACCCATGTTCTGTCCATGTGGTACCCAAGCACATATGTCGCCTGCATTTCCTCTCTTGATATGTGTTCTAGAGCTCTGCCATTGGAGATGCCCATATTCTCTCTTGAGCATGTTATTCTCTCTCCTTTTCTCTCCCTCCTTCCCTTCCTCCAGGACTCCAAATAAAATGTTTTTACTTCACTGCTCATCTTCTCTTGAAATTCTTTTCTGTGAGAAAGGCAAGAACCAGGAAGGCCTGGGTGAGGCTGAGGACTGGTTTTCCTTTTCCTGCAAAGAGCAATTCCTTGCTCCAGCCTGAGTCTATAGCTCTCCCATGCCAAAAGGGACAAATGGACACCAGGTATGGCTACCTTGTTGGGCTAGCGGGACTCGTGGTCCGTGCCATGAAGGGGCTCATTACAGGTTTCCTCAGTCCTGACTTTCCCAGCAGGTCCTAGGGTGGCAGAGGTGGATCGAGAGAAAACAGCCATCTCGCTCTTCTCCACTTCACATCAGTCACCCTTGAGGAAGCCCACTGACTTCATTTACTATCCCACTATCCCATTCACATAAGGAAACCAGAGCTCAGAGAGGTTAAATAACCTACTCAAGTTCATTGAGCTAGTAAGTGGCAAAACCTGGATTCAAACCTCTGCCTCTCTGACTTCAAAGCTTCTACCAGGCTAATAGAAACTGGAGTGCTGCAAAGTGGGTGATGTGTGTCTATAAGGAAGGTGAAGACAAGCTAGAAGAAAAAGGAGATGGTTGCAAAGGTAGGGGAAACCATGCTCAAAAATAAAATAGCTTTAGGAGAGTCTACACAGGAAGCAGAGAGATAATTTATCATTGAAGGGTAAGATGCTGATAACTTTATACTTACAGGCATAATTTGACATAAGTCATCCGTGGTGACACTGCAGATGCCTACTGGTGTATTCTGATCACTAGGAACGATGGGAGGACTCAACAATTTCTTGTAACAGCAGGGCGGGAAACGAATATCCAAGGTAATGCTGTTATAAACAGCTAGTCCCATAAGCTATGCATACTGAATGTTAAGCATTAACATAAATTCCATGACAACAAATGAGTTTTGAATTATGCATAAGTCTATTTTTTGCATACTTTTTCAGACCTTACACTGACTTTCTAATTAATTCCACATACTCCCTTTTATTTATTTTCCCTTTATTTTAGATAAAATAATTCCTTGATTACCAAAAGGCATGCAAAACGGCATGCAGTTGGTAGTATTTAATGATTTCCCAGAAAAATTTATCTAACATCACAATAAATAGCAATCCCATACTTTTAAATAAATTATTTAACAAGTAAAAGCAACACATCTTCTAAATTTAAGCAAAGATGTTGGATGATTTATAAGTAGTGTCAGCAATTTATTCTGTAGCACTCCCTACAGAACATCCTACTTATTTTGGGGAATCTATTTTCACTATATTAAAATTAACAGACTATTTTAAAGAGAATTGAGCTACATAAGCACATTAATAGACATACACAGACATGCAATTGATAAGCTAATAGGACAACTGATTGTCTACTGTAATACTTGAAAGGCCTTTGTTGCCTGTCATTTACTTAATGTGTTAAAGCTAAAAAGCTACTGTCACTGTCCTCCCGCTGGCCAAGTAACGTCTCCATTGTGAGACTTGTTACTGTGTTTGGCATATTGAATACATCACGGGCAGCTTGCTAGGCTTTGCCGTGCGGGTGAGATACTCTCTGTAGCTTGCTGGGATCTCTGAGAGGGGGGGAGGAATAGAACCCGGGTCGGTTGGGTCGGTCCGGTCGGCCACATGCAAGGCAAACGCCCTACCGCTGTGCTATCGCTCCAGCCCCTAAAAAAGCTACAGGTGTTATATATTTAAACTTCACCCACTCATATTTTATTTATCAGTTATATAGTAGAATGTAACATCCATTTACTGAAAGAGGATATAAAAAGTATATAAAATATTTTTAACTGCTAAAGATTATTCCATGATTTATTAAGGAAAGCTTTCATCTTATAGACTCAAAGGGAAATCTAAACATATGGGCTGATAAATTATTGAAAAGAAAAGGCAAAATGAAGGTTAGGAGTAATTTAAGAAATAAATGTTATTGTTAACCATATGAACAGAGACTCAGGATTGTGTTCAAGGTGGCAGAAATTGAAAATAAGCCCTAAAGAACTTCTGTAATTGTGATAGTAGCGAGCACAGCAGTAACTGCAGTATTACTTGTTACCATCTCTGATCATCTACTTAAATGACACATTCAACGCATTCTTTATTAAGAAAAAACTGGTCTCAAAGAAAGGTTTTTCACAGATAAGGACTTGCTTGAGGACACTTTCAGATACAAAATCATGTTTTATTTCCCACTAAATCAACCTGTTTTTGATGAAGCGGAATGAGAACCAAGGAAGTCTGCTGGAGCCTCTGCAGTGTCTGCCATATGGTATAGAGACCAGTGTATGAACCATGCACCATACTCTCCTGCTTGCAATCTTAATCCAACAGTCCTTTTGGTATAGGCAATTCTATTTTTAAAAATTGCTATACTATGGTCATCAAGAATTCTTGAAAGCATTTTAAAATTATAAGCACAGGTTTTATAACAACTCTTGTAAACTCCTAAACTTGCAATAAAGAAAAAAAAAACTATCGGAAACACACAGTATTGTCTGAAGTACTAGAGCAATTAATCTGTAGTCCTAAGATTCAAAACCTGGAAATAGGTAAGAACCAACTATACTTTCTCAATTTTCATTACTAATAGTTTTCAATATTTAGTTATCAACTTTGATAAATTAATTGCTTTACAAGCCATGATATCAGACCTTTCCTTTATATTAGTGTGCCTTTTTATGGTCTTAGTTTTCTATTGTTTATTTTTTGCAAGGTAACTACATAAAATAATGATAGTAGTGGCTATAATAATTTAATATAATTTAATTTTAAATTTAATTATTTTACTTGAATATGATATGTAAATATGGTTAATATATTTTTCTGGGAAATGAGTGAACAGAAACTAATGTTTACTTTAAAAAAAACCAATTTTATGTAAAGCTCCATTCTAAGAATATGATAGCCAAGTAAAAGCTAAAATTTCAAATACTAGAAATGTCATCTACCAAATTGGTCATGACAAGAATGCAAACATAACCTATATATATTTATATATAAATGTAGGTCTTCAATGACTCAGAACGTCAATGAAGGTGCAACATTTAACAAGTAATTACTGAAGATAAAAGAATACAAACAGCCGTCTGGAATTGTTAGGCATTCTCTATAGAGGAACTCTGGTCTTTAGACAAGGCAATAGATGAGTAAATTTAAAACCATGTTTACCATCTCAATGTACAGTTCCTCCCTACCACCTTTTCTTCCATCTACCCTCTCAATTTTCATGTATATTACTCAGGATTTATTTCTAACAAATGTACCAAAGATTCAGATCCTTTCTTAAGATGGCGTTTTCTTTATAAATTTTCTGGATCTTCTTGTGTGCCCTCTTTTCAAATGCACTACATATTGTTCTGTAGCAAGCACATGCAACTTTTTTTCTCCTAGCCAACCCTCCGGTTTATGTCGTACACTCTCTCCAAGCTTGGTGTTAGTGAAATACATTTGTAACATTAAAAAAATCTTTCCCTATTCTGGAAGAAATGCACAAATTTTTTTTTCTTCTGAGAACTTTTAGTACTTAACGCTAAATGATCACCTAACTTAGGGAAGAGACTACCCTGAATAGATTGGTAACTATTACTTGAGACAGTAAATTTCATAAAGGTGGTCTTCCTTCTTCTTTTAACCTATGTTTAACCAGGGCTTCCTCATTTATTTATTTTTCTTTATTTTATTCCACAGATTATACTTCATAGAACTAAAAAAAAAAGCTATTACATAGGCATCTTGTATAATTAATCTCTTATTCAGTGGAGGAATGCCTTCTTCAACATAATTGGTAGGGATTAGAGGATGACAAAGGAATTTACGTAGTTTTTAAAAACTCTATAAAATAAAATACCATGTTAAATTTTTCAATTCCACTCAATTCCTAAGACATATGGGTATACTAGGATTTGAAAGAGCATATTAGAAAGATTTAATCTCTGAAATTGTAAATAATTACTAAATGGAATAAACACAAAAAAATTACCAACATTAAAAAAACTTCATTATGAATAGAGAAGACATTTTGATATTTCAAAAACTTAAACAATTTTCTAACAATTCAGATAAAACATAAACTAGGAAATAATCATTTCCATTTTAGGTAGGGATTTTAGTCCTTACTTCAAAAATCTTTTTATTCCTTTCAACTAATTAAATGTGCTGATATTACATAGCTGTGATGTTACAAATAATAAAGACTACTGAAAAATCTATTAATAAATTTGATAAGAATGAACATTAGTTTGAATGAAATGTCTAATGATTTTTCAAAACATTTAATGAATGGTATGTTAAACAACTTTCAAGATTCAGAGCATATTAAAAAAAAGAAAAAAAGAAAAAAACACCTCTAGACTACTAGCACCTCCTAGTGGAAAGTTTAAAGGATACAATTCCCACCAATCGGAATTCAGAATAGTTATCACATTTAAAGCTGCTAAACCAATGGCAGTGTGAATCCTTGTGATATGTAAACATGCCTACGGGGGAAAAAAGATAAAGAAAAAAAAACAATTTCATTATAATGAATGATTAAAAAAATCACAGTGGTAAAAATGCATAAAACATCTTATCAGAAACAAAACGTTTCAGCAACAGCTCTATTACAAATTATCATGTTAAAATATAGAAAACAGGTTTTTTTTTTTTTTTTGCTTTTTGGGTGACACCTGGCTTTGCACAGGAGTTACTCCTGGCTCAGGCACTCAGGAATTACTCCTGGCAGTGCTCAGGGGACCATATGGGATGCTGGGAATCGAAGCTGGGTCGGCCGCGTGCAAGGCAAACGCCCTACCTGCTGTGGTATCGCTCCAGCCCCTAGAAAACATTTTTTTGAGGAATAGCCATATTGTTTTCCAAAAGGCTGAACCAGTTGGCATTTATACTAATAATGAATGAGAGTCCCTTTCTCCCCACATCCATACCAGCACTGGTTGTTGTTCTTTTGGAACATTGTGTGGCCAAAATCTAGTCAGGAACAACCTTGCAACTATGTATCTCAGGTGATTCAATTTTTTTAAAAAAGAAAAATATACAGACATTCAAGTATATTTGAAACATTTTTAATTGATCCACCATGAGATCCAAAGTTATAAAGTTGTTCACAATTGAATTACAATCATAAAATGCTCCAACACCCATCCCTTCACCAAGGTACATTTCCATCACCAATGTCCCCAATTTCCCTCCCAAGTCCCCCTCTTCAGCATGCTACAAAGGCAGATACTTCTTTCTCTCTCTCTCTCTCTCTCTCTCTCTCTCTCTCTCTCTCTCTCTCTCTCTCTCATTCTCTCCCCCTTTCTCTCCCTTTTTCCTTTTTGGCACTGTGGTTTGTAATACTGTTACTGAATGGGTATCATGCATATTGCTTTACTTCCTTTCAGCACCCAGTTCTTGTCTAGAGTGATCATTTCCAACTGTCATTGTCATAGTAATCCCTTCTCTGTCCCAACTGCATTCCATGCAGTCCCCATTGTGGCAAGCTTTCTACTATGGACCAGTCCTTCTGGCTCTCGTTTCTATTGTCTTTGGGTATTATTCTCATACTATGATTTTTTTTAATATCTCACAAATGAGTGCGATCATTCTATGTCTGTCTCTTCACTCAGCAAACTCTTCTCCATGTCCATCCATGATGTATAAGCAAATTTCATGACTTCATTTCTCCTAACAGCTGTGTAGTATTCCATCGTGTAGATGTACTACAGTTTCTTTACTATTCATCATACTCAGGCACTTGGGTTGTTTCCAGATTCTGGCTATTGTGAATTGTGCTGCAATGAACATGGCAGTGCAGATGGCTTTTCTGCTGTGTGTTTTTGGGCTCCTAGGTTATATTCTCAGGAGGAGTATTGCTGGGTTATATGTGTATTAGTTCCCTGAATCTAGGGTGGAAACAAGATAAACATAATGGAATACATTACTTAATTTACAAAGAACTTTCACGTTTTCTTTTTTTATTAGTGTCCTGAACCAAAAGTAGAAACGGTAAAAGTAACAAAATATATTGATTTATAAAAAAGAATTTATCAGTTTTAATTGAAGCTAATTTTGAAAGAGTAAATAGAGATTTCAATTTTCCCATGTCATCTCTACTAGAAAGATTACACACACAACATTTTGAAAAATGAGAAAAACACTTAGAACTCTGCTTGGGTAGACCAGATTTTGGGCTACACCTAGTGATGCTCAGGGCTTACTCCTCAGTCTGTGCTCAGAGATCACTTCTGAGGGTTGGGGTTACGGAACTGAACCAAGGTCAGAAGTGTGCAAGGCAAGAGCTTATCTGCTGTACGATCTCTCTGATCCTAAAACTTTTCCTCGAAGAGAAAGAAACATTAACAGATATCAAGGATTATCCATCTGTGTTTCCTATGAATAAAATCAAATCTAAATTTTAAATTTATTTTTGTCTTAACAAAATCAATTATTATTTATGTCTCATAATTGAAAGAGGCTCCACTATTAGTGTAGAGAAAACTACAGTTTTAATTTTGAATGTTCTTTCTTTTAGTAACATTAAATTTTCATGTTTGTTTGGAATTACTCAGAGATGTGGATATTTCCTTGAAAATGTGTGCTTTCAGTATTTATACATTTTGTGTAGGCTTCTCAGTAGGATTTTGATCATCAATTTGGTCAAACAACTTTCAAATGTAAATAAGCAACTAAATTTATTCAACTCCAATGGTTGACAAAATATCTGTAAAAATTGTAGGATAGTTTAAAAGTAAGAGTATACATTTGGATCTAATAATTATGAAGAAATACCATTTATAAAGACAAAATACTCACCATAATCTGGGTGAAAAATCTGGCGAATTAGAAGAAGGAACCATTCCTTAGTCAAACCACCCATATCCAAACCAGCTTCCCCTACAAATGTAACTTTCAACTTCTTTTTCAAGTCTGCTGTTTTGCGGGTTAACTAATTGAAAATTATATATATATAGTAGAGGGAAACAAAGCACAATAAAAAGCAAATTAATTTTCTTTTCTGCTAAGTAAACTAGGTAGTGTTATATTAGTTATATCAGAAAACTCCATCCATCTTTCATCCATCCATCCTTCATCCATCTATCCAATACATCAGTTGGTTATGTATACACTGTACAGTGTAATAAACTAGGTATAATTTATTATTTATACTACTATATCACCAACAATAGTTGCTATACTGTGCAACAGTGAGGTAGTATTTTTATTATCAAGATCAAGAAATAGAATTAGAACGATCAGATTTCTTGTCCAAGGTTACTGCTTCCCAATGTCATACTGCCTCCAAGATTTTAATTTTGAAGATTATGATATAAAATAGCTTCCTTAACATTCCTACAATATTAAAGTTCTATAAATCACAGAGCTAAAACAGTTATTATGGCTGAAAAGCCACATGCATATCTGATTAGAGCACTGTACATACATACAATCGATGAACCTGAGTAGATCAATATACCTTATAATCATATATCTAATTTTATATGAGTAATCTGAAGCCTGAAGATGATAACATGGCTTACTCATTTTAAGTTTTCTATATAAAATACCTTTCTGAAGAATTAATAACAAACTGTTATTAAATATATAAAAATGAACATAAACTTAACTGTGAATACATAACTGATTTTAACTATAGTATCAAAAATGTAAGAAAGCATACCATACTTATAGGCATACTACACACAGAGAAATATAAATCTCTTGCCAAGATTTTAGTAATAAACCATACAATATAATTTAACTCTTTAATCAATACCACTTTGGAATAAATGATGTATACCTCATCAAGTGAATCGCTAACCAGATGTGTCCGTCTTACTTTCATATTTAGAAATAACATATTCATATCAGGTCTCTGTCTCCGAGATACTTTATCCACAAGACTTTGCTAGTTAAAAAAAAGAAAAAGTTTCACTATTGCATAAATTATAATTTTATTTAAAATATTTAAAATTTCAGTAAAAATAAGATTTTTACTTCTTTATGCTCCCTTCATATTAACAGTTTTATAAAATCAATGAGAATGTTTTACTATTTCATTTCAGAACAATGGAGCTAAACAGAGTCCAAAATGGAGAACCAAAAATAACTCATCTCCTATATACAGTAAAAAATTTTTAATTAGTTACCATACAATTCATCTCTTGAATGGGAAGATTTTTATGATCAATATATACAAACATGAAATGGTAACATATGAACTACATATTTATGATGACAAACTTGACTTTAGTGTCTTTTGATACTGAATTTCCTGATAGCATATTTTTGAAACTGAATTTTCTCTAAAGAACAATTAGTCAAAAATACTTTTTTACAAACATCTGTCAGAAACCTGAATAAAATTCAACCCTCTGTTCTAATAATTCCACTTTTGGGAATTCTAAACAAGTAAAATATTTCATACAGTAAATAGTTCATTTCAGCATTATGTATAAAAACAAAACTTAAGAATCCTTCTAAATATATTTTAAAAAGTGATAAAAACCACAAACAAACACTGTCCTCCTGTTGTTCATCGATTTGCTCGAGCGGGCCCAGTAACGTTTCCATTTTTGAGACTTGTTGTTACTGTGCTTGGCATGTTGAATACGTCATGGGGAGCTTGCCACACTTTGCCTTGCGGGCGAGATACTCTCAGTAGCTTCCCAGGCTCTCTGAGAGGGGTGGAGGAATCGAACCTGGCTCAGCCGGGCTGGCTGCACGCAAGGCAAATGCCCTACCACTGTGCTATTATTATCTGACTCCATAAAAACCACATAACACAAAAATTAAGATACAACTTAAAGAAAAACTTGAAAAACAAAATTGGTTTTTCAGTCTCTCTAAAACGGAAAGAAATAAATTTGTTATAAATTTCTCAGCTTCTGGTATTTTGGAATAATGGTTCAGCTGGACCACACATATGCATAAAAACACTCACAATAGCTAGAAACTATAAATAGCCCAAAGTCTATTAATAGATAAATAAGAAACAAAACGTGGTATCTATATATAACATCAGTCACAGAATGATAGATGCTACAACATAGATGAACTTTGAAAATAGTATATGAAAGAAGTCAGACACAAAAGATGACATATCGTATGATTCTATTTTTATTAAATATCTAAGAGAGCTAAATCCAGAGACAGAAAAAGGATTGGTAATTATCAGGAGCAAGCTGGGGAGAATAGAAAGAATTACTTAGCAGGTATGGGATGTCAATTGAAGTGATAAAAGTCTTATAGTATGAAATTTATAAAGAGGGTAATGATGTAACATTGTGAATATTTAAATGCCATTTATATGTTCCTTTTTAAAAAGCTAATTTAGTGAAAAAATTTAAAAATAGAATTAAAAAACCAAAACAAGAAAAATAAATAAAATAGCTTAGAGCTATTTAGTTAAATAGATAATTTTGGCCCAGAGTGAGGTAAGTCACTTGCCTTTTATATGGCTGACCTGGGTTCAACCCGACACTGCCCAAGGTTCCCTGAACATTAACAGGAATGATCCCTGAGCACAGAGCGAGGAGTAAGCACTGAACACAGTCAGACATGACCCCAAATCAAAATAAATACAAAAATTAAGATCATAAATGACTATGCAAACTACACAAATTAAGATAATAAATGATTGTGCAAAATAAATAGACAAATTAAGATAACAAATGACTATATGCATATCATCTCAATAAAATAAGGCACATTTTCATTATTAAAATTGTCAAAAGCATCAAAATTTTGTGTCAACAGTTTTAGATGTTGACTTTTAAATATAACAAAAAATGTGAAAAGAAAATTCATAAAACTATCAGTAAGTTATATTTGGGTGAAGAAGATACACATGATTAAAAAATTTATTTTAATTGTTTAAAGATAGAAGCTAAGAGTATAAAAACACAAAAATATTTTTTTCAGAGTATTTTTCCCTTTTTATTTTATTTTTTTAAATTTTTATTAATGAGACACCATGAGGTACAGTTGTGGACTTACAAAAGTTTTTGTGCTTGGGTTTCAGTTATAAAATGATCGAGTACCCATCCCTCCACCATGCCCATTCTCCGCCACCACTGATACCAGTATCCCTCCCACCCCCCATCCCCCCATCCCACCCTGACTCTGTGGCAGGGCATTCCCTTTTGTTCTCTCTCTCCTTTTGGGGGCTATGGTTTGCAAAAGTTGCACTGAATGGCAATCATGTTCGGTCTATAGTCTACTTTCAGCATGCTTCTCCCATCCTGGGAGGATCCTCCCAACACTCTTTATTTGCTGCTCCCTTCTCTATCTGAGCTGCCTTTTCCCACAGCATGTGTGGCTGGCCTCCAAGCCATGGAATAAACCTCCTGGTACTTATCTCAGTTATTCTTGGGTGTTAGTCTCCTATTTTGTTACTTTATGTTCCCCAGATGAATGCAATCTTTCTATGTCTATCCCTTTCTTTCTGAGTCATTTCACTTAGCATGATACTTTCCATGTAGTATCACTTGTATGTACATTTCATGACTTCATCTTTTCTAACACCTACATAGTACTCCATTGAAAAACACAAAAATCTTAAAGGGAATATATATTTCTTATATGTGTTATCTAAATAATCAGACTACCTCATCTCTATTGGAAGCAAAATACCAAATTATTGTATACATTAAAGATGAAATTACATACACAGTAAGTTTTTCTTTAATAGAAAAGGGGAACTTTTAAGATTATAGATTGCTAGCTTACTCTAATCTAATATTATAATTCAGAGTCCTCCTTCCTTTCTCTAATATTTAATTCTAAAGCTCCAATAGTCTTTTCTTCCATGGATCCTCCATTTGGTCCTCAGACAGATGTATATTCTTACAATAGCATCGTGTGTTGTGTACAGATTTCCTTCCCTTTCCTTACCTTCTGTTCCCATTCCAGCTCCTGGTAAGGTGCCACACTGGAATGTCCAACAAACTTACACTAAGATGTTCATGTAAAACAAGGCTTGTGGCTATTCTTCCCATCAGGAACTTTAATAGAAAATCCCTCAAATAAATAATCCAATGACAGTAAAATTTTAGATGGACTGGAGTGAGAGTACAGTGGGTAGGGAGCTTGTCTTGCAAAACTGACCTGGATTCAATCCCCAGCATTCAAAATGGTACTCTGGGCACTGCCAGGAGTGATTCCTTAGTGCAGAGCCAAGAATAACTCCTGAGCATCACTGATTGTGGCGCCAAACCTTCCTCCCCCCAAAAAATTATTTTTAGATGAGGAAATTGTTTTTAGATTACAGAAGCTCTTACTTTAACTATCTATAAAATTGTCCACGTGTCAAAGTCATTACTTCCAAAGAAGCATGGCAGTCATCATGTTAAAATGTCAGGAAACACCTTAAGAACTACAGATGAATGGATTATGAAGATGTGGTATATACACACATTGGAATACTATGCAGCTGCAATGAATAATGAAAGCAATTTGCTGCAATCTGGTGGGAACTAGAAAAGATCATGTTGAATGAAGTAAGCCAGAAGAAGAAAGAAAAAAAACAGGATGATCTCACTTATCTATGTTATACAGAAAACTGGATGAAGAAATAAAGTAAAAGGGTAATGCCTAGATCAGCCATGACCCAGTGTTCAAAGAGGAAAAAGACAGAGAAGGAAATAAATGAAGGCGGGGGAGTAGGGGGGGAAGAGAATTGGAAGTAATGAGTAAACAGGTATCAGGACTTCAGTTATATAGGGGTGAGTGGTTTAACCATATATCCAAGACACAGACTCAAAAATAAAAAAAAAACTAAACTGAAAACATGAGATCTAAGCTGTAACCACTGAAACCTTGTAATATAACTGTCAAGCTGATAGGCAGGGATGGGGTGGTGGTTGGGGTGGGGAAGGGATGTGGGAACACTGGCGGAAGGAAGTTGATACTGCTCATGGGATTGGTGTTGAAATATTAAAACATTGTAAATCAGGTTCTTTGTTAAAATAAAAGAGGGTAACACAGAAAAATACTCAGAGAAACAGATACATTTTTAATTCCTGGTTTTCCTTACATAGTTATAAGCCAAAGTGAAAAAAATACTGAAAATGCACAGGAAATATTATAAATACAATAGGAAATATCAAAATGACTAGCTGTATAGTTTAAACTTTTGCCAATTTCTACCCAAGCTTAAGTAATAATTCTGGTGTCAAATATATGTTTAAATTTATTTCTTCTGAGGTAGCTACAGAATTCTCCTGGCACACATAGGCAATAAAGTTCTTTTAATAATCCCATACTCAGTACAAACTGTCTCTGGGATGTAACCTGTCACTCAAATTTTTTTTGTCACCCTGTGAAGAAAAAAGTACCTTCTAGGAACTGAACTACTTAATAAGAAATCCCTATATTAAAAAAATAAGTTTTAAATATTATAATTTGTTTTATATTCTTGGACAAGGCATAAAAATTGTTCCTTATTACTTTTGTATGTCTCTTTTTCAGGTTTAAAAGGAGACTACAGCCAATCTTTCCTCTGATTTTACAAGTTGTGAGTAATCATTTTAAAAAAGGGCATAGTCCAAACAGATGAACATTTAAAGATGTAGTTAAGCGCTCTATATATTAAAAAAAGTTCACTCGATCTAATATCCTAATGTTGTTGGACTATACTGAATGAAGCACAAGTGGTAGAAAGCTTGTGCTTTCAGATCCCCAGACAAACTTCATCCTCTCCACAATTTACTTAAAGCCAGCCTGGCTGTTTTCCCAGGTTCCAGGGATCTCCAGGCATTTTGGCTTCCTCTTGCACTTTCTTTGGGTGTACTTCTCAGCTTTCCAAGATCAGAATTTTTGTTATATCTTCAAAATTTTGGTAGTTTGTATTTGACTTTCATAAGACCTAAAAACATTTCAGTGGTCTGACTGATTTGCTCTTAATGCAACTTCTTGCTTTCATTATAATTTCCATCAAATAGTTCTAGGTACTGGAATATGGTAACTATAAAATGATGTCTATTAAATCCCCAGTCCCTGAAACTGTGAATAGTATTTAATATTCATTTATGAAAAATGCTACATTTAGGGGGTATGATGCCATCAGCAAGTCAACCTGTAACTGTGAGGTGAGTGCATCAGCAGCCTGATGGCACCTTCAGACTTCCAGATACCCCAAAATAGCTGCTGTACCTTTGGCCAGACCCCAAAAACTTGGGGCAAACTTTACCAACAGCCAAAAGTTAGGTATGTGGGAGACACATCTACAAACCACCTCCAGCTCAGCCATATAATTGGAAGCAAGGCCTCTTTGGTTCCTGATCGAACTGCTTAATGGCCATGATCCCAGAGACAAAGAGACAAATCTCGAAACCCAGCGGCTTTTGGCAGAGATGCATCCAGTCCTCGCAATGGGTTACCAGCGCTGGACCACCCCAGGGGGGAAAGGGTGTTGTCCCCCTGCCTGCTCCCCCTTGGTGGCTTCTTGGCTGCAATCTTCCAAAAGCACTGGATAGTCAGGTTTGGGCCAACGGTGATGAGACACACAAGGCCTCTTGGGATGGGGGAGGAGCCAGCTCTTTCCTGCTCATCCCAACAAGACACCGAGTCACTGCCCATGAACAGCCGCTCTGGCTCCTGATCAAGCTGCTTAACGGCCATGATCCCAGACTCAAACAAATCTCGAAACCCAGTGGCTTTTGGCAGAAACGCGTCCAGACCCTGCAGTAGGTTACTGTCACAGGCCACCCGAGGGGGGAAAGGGTGCTGTCCCTCTGCCTGCTCCCCCTTGGAGGCTCGGTGGTTGCCATCCTCCAGAAGCAACTGGACAGTCAGGTTTGGGCCCACAGTGATGAGACATGTGGGGCGTCACAGGATGGGGGTGGAACTGGCCCTTTCCTCCCCACCCCAACGAAACCCCGAGTCGCCGCCCACAAATGGCCTCTCTGGCTCCTGATCAAGCTGCTTAACAGCCATGATCCAAGAGACTCAGGAAAAAAATCTCGGAACCCAGCAGGTTTTGGCAGAAATCCATCCAGATTTAATTGTTAAAATTTCAGAATTCCAAAATTGTGCGGCCACTACTGCGGCCACAGGACATCGTATGTTATTAATAACCAGCAATAGAAAACAAATTGTCTACTGTTGCCTTTTTTGGCAGATCTGAATGTTGGAGTAAAATCCCAAATAATAATGGTGGGTCTGGCATTGAAATGTTGAACGTAATCAAAGTAGAGAGAGAATAATGTGAAAATCATCTGCCCCACAGGTAGGGGGAGGCTGTGGGTTGGGGTATACTGGGTTTTTTGGTAGTGGAAAATGGGCACTGGTGAAGGGATGGGTGCTTCATTGTCTGATCGAGACTTAAACCTGAAAGCTTTGTAACTGCTCTCACAGTGATTCAACAAATAAAATTATAAAAAAAGAAAAAAGAAAAAAATGCTACATTTAAAATGATAAGTTGATGAATGAAATATATTTTTCCTGTACCATAAACAGTATAAATACCTGCTGGGGGGATATAATAGAAATTTTCTCTTTTAACATTTCATGATTATTTTAGAGCAATTTTTAAAACTTGACTTATTTATAAAAGTATTAGATAGACCGATTAAAGTCAGCATAAATGTTTTTATAGTTTGCTTACCCTTGCGATGCTTATCATCTGTTGTTCTGAGTCTCTCTGAATAATAATTTTTTTGGCAGTTATAGAAATAACGAATGGATACTGACAGAAGGAAAACCTGCTTAACAAATAACAAAAAAAGCAAAAAAGGTATACATTTTTAGTAGAATTACTCTGTATGAATCTGACTCCCTTTAAACATTACAAAACTTTAAATATGTGTTTTACCATTTCTAAAATGATTTTGTGTTTCATTTTTTAGGCCCCAAAGACCTCTTATATGTGTCATTACTAGAATACAGTCTTTATTCTTAGAGGAAGCTACTTCCAATGTTCAAAGCATATGTCAATCATTTCTACTGTTTAACAAATAATTTAAATTTACGTATTGTCATCTGTATGGCCAACAGCAGAATGATGGATTAGAAGTAATGAAGGAAAGTTAGGATAGAAAATGTGTGTGTGTAGAAATTAATATAGAACCACAATTACTTGGATATTACTGATATATGTGCTCCAGAAATGAGGAAATCTAGAAATAACTATAGTAACAAAAATAAAAGTAATACACTTAATATTAATAAAAATTAGAAAATAGAGCATATGGTTTTTAGTACTGATTTAATGTTGTAGTGTATGAAATGGTATGTATTCTAAAGAGAACTGGAACAAACATTATGAAAATAACTTTTTCTGAGTCAGAGTTCATTTTATATTATGCAAAAAAATGCAGTCAGAAACTACATAGAGAGAACTAGTATGGTAGCAACAACACATGAGAATTGAGATTTCCTTCAGAAGTGATTGTGAGTTCCCAGAGTGGGAGGGAATTCATCCAAATACAGTCAAGTAGTGTGTCTGTGGCCCTGGGTGCAATGAAGGTATTATAAAGAAAAAGAAGATAGTGCTAGGGTAAACTGAAAAGGAAATGACATTTTCCTGGAAAACAACTGTTAATAAATAGAATTATTTGGTTCTAATGTGGAATAATTTCAAGTCACTGAGCACTAACTAGAAATTATAATAAAAAGAAGTTCAATAAATTTAGTGGGTTTGTGCACTGAACTTGTTAGGATATATACCAGTCTTATGAATTTAAAACATTACATCTCAACTTTCCCTAGTCCCGGGACATAGGAAGATGATCCTATGTATATGGCACACTGAGATAAATGGAAGAGACTGCTCAAGTAGACAGGTATGATCTGGATCCTACACTAGTCTGGATCCTACACTAGATTCAGGGTGGAAGGAATCACAGGGAACAAAACTTCTCCAACTCCTTGTTTCACCAATGCTATGGCTCAGTGTTAAGAGGAATTCTATATTAAAAGATAATATTGACATATGTATAATTACTGAGTTGTTTGTGGTTTTGTCTACCACATTATTTAAAGTGGGAGGAAAAAGTGTTTTTGTAAAACAAACTTTGGTAGGAAAATACTCATCACACTATGGTAGCCATAATCCAAATTCTTTCTCAGTTCTGAGTGTTCACATGTGAACCGAGATGTCCAGAAGGCCATCTGACGTTCCAATTCTGATGGAAAGAATTCATTAAAGACTGAACCAATTTGTGAACTAAAATGAGGTTTAGTGTCCTTTAGAATAAATGCATTTTCCAGGATATTACATGGCTTGAGAAAGAAATATGTTCAGGATAGTTTTATTGGTTTGACCCAAATTTTAAGTGTGGCTTACGGTGTAGAGTATTAACAAATTTGGATAAGTATAAAACCCTTTCTCTGTAACATCCACTCTTTTAAAACTATAAACTATCAATAGTCTCTTTTTTCTCTAGAATAAGGGAAATATATAGTGGATGTATGTGTGCATACATGAGTGATCATTATGTTATACCAGGAACCAGAAAAGGGTGGATCATAGAATACATAAATTTGCACCTAAATAAAGATTTTTGAAAGGCAGATACATTCATATATTACACAAGGCTGTTTTGTGGGTAAATAGCATATCAGAATTTATATAGTCCAAGAGCCTAAAATATTTACTATCTAATCAAAACACTTTATTGTTTTCTGTCTTATATGATAGTATACAGGATAAAAGAAACTGCATATGGAGGTAGAACTTTTCCCTTTTTTAAAAGATGCTATTATGTACATTAAAATTAAATAAACAGGCATATAAACTTTAAATGCAAGAAAATAAAAAATCTTTAATAAATAAAATGACTTAAGAATAGTAATCTTGATTATATGGATAAATTTAGATTTAAAAGTAGAACTATATTTAAATTTATCTACAAACTTCAAATATAGTCAGGCATTATTTTGAATGGTATTTCACTTAGGTGAGTAATCAAATGAGCTACTTATTATACCTGTGAGAATTTCCAAAGCTCTGCCAGGTGTGATATTCTTCCATGAGATCAATGTGATCCAATGTAGAATTATAGAAATCAGTATAAGGAATAAGAGGAGGGTGAACCAAATTGTTTGCAGTATCTGTAAAGATAAATTCTACCATAGTAATTTTCCCAACATGTGCATGATTCAAACTGACATGAAGAGAATATTTTAATGTTCATATAGTTTTTACCAAAAATTACTATTTAAGTTATTGTAACCCCAAATATAAAAGGTAACTTTAAAATTAGGGTCAAAATGTAGGCAACAATATCTTACTTTAACAAAAGAGAAATCCTGTAGTTAGAACAATATAACAAATGGAAGACACAAAAGGCATCTACACGAGCATTTTCCTATCAATATAAACACTTCTCGTAGTCCTTGGGAATTAATAAAAGGAACTGTTCTCTTAAAAATAAGTCTTATCAAGTAATACGCAGTCAATAACAACAACACAGAACATTGTCCAACAAAATCAATAAAGCATTTCATATTTATGTTAACTCTGAAATACATTATCAGAAATTAGCTACAACTCTTCACTTTAAAGGAACGGTTTATAATGTATAACATACATTATAATGTACAATATAATGTATAATGGTTTATAATGCCTCTACAGTACTCTGAAATTCTTATTCAGACATTATTCAGACAAATATCTCTACTTTTTAACAAAAGAAAAGCAAGTATGAAAGAATAATAAAACCTACTGAGTAAAGCCAACACTTTAGCTGCTGATGGAATCCACCAGGAACACTTTGCTAAAGGAGGGAACTCTTCAGGCTTTGCAGGAAACAGGCGTAAAGAAATAAATTGCAGCAATCTCTCTACCAATTGCTTGAACCTCTTCTGGGATAATCTAGTAAAGATTTTGAATAATTCCAATCAAATTTCACATTTTTTATTTTGGCAATGTATCTGTTATCAAAGTTTCTCTAAAATGTGTAGTATCTGAGAATATTTTCCAAAATTCCATTTATTAAATTGCCAAACAGTTGAAAGTTAGAAACAAACGTCTCTAGTTAGAAACAAACTAAGTTAGAAACAAACTCCGTCTAAGTTAGAAACAAACACCAAAATTCATGTAAGTTAGTATGCAACATTTTAAGGCCTTTAATATTTAATCTTCATTACTTATGGACTTAAATTAGCAAATTTGCCTTCTTGACAAATCACAATTAGCAGCACTTCTGCGGTTATTCAGATGAGCAAAGAACAGAAAAATATTTGAGTTGCGGGGCTGGAGTGAGAGCACAGTGGGTAGGGCATTTGCCTTGCACGCGGCTGACCTAGGATCAGCATCCAGCATCCCATACAGTCCCCTGAGCACAGCCAGGGATAATTCCCTGTGCATTGCCGGGTGTGACCCACCCCCCAAAAAGCAAAGTGGTACTCTGCCTTTTAGGTTTTAGTGATCTTTATTACATTTGGTAGTAATACATTTTCACATTTTTGTACTTTCTGTTAATGACTTTGCTGTTTTAAAATGACTCTATAATGCTGGAGTTCTGTTAGTGTTTCTAAATAAGAGAAGAATGTGATGCACCTTATGGAGGATATACTGCATTTGATAAAATTTGTTCAGGTTTGAGTTATAATGCTGTTAGCCATGAGTTTAATACTAATCAATAATGCATTTTAAATATACACTGGGAAATATACAGTGGTGAAGAGACAGGCGTTGGAACACTGGATAACTCAAACCCAATTATGAACAACTCTGTAACTGTGTTATCTCATGGTAAATCAATAAAAAATTAAAAATTAAATGTCTTTAATACAAATACAAATAAAGTAAGATTAGATATGGGGTCAGAGCGATAGTACAGCACGTAGGGTGTTTGCCTTGCATGTGGCTAACCAGGGTTCAATCCCTGGCATCCCTTATGGTCTCCCAAGCAACACCAGGAGTAATTCCTGAGCGCAGAGCCAGGAGTAACCCCTGAGCATCACTGGGTGTGACCCCAAAAACAACAAGAACAAAAAGATTATATATTAACCAGATGATGGAAATATTATGACCAAAGGCTTACAGAAAACCTATATTTCTTCTGGGATCAATGGACTATTCAGTGTTTTCAGCAACTTCATAGAACATAACCATTATAAATAATGAGAATCAAGTGCATTAAAATTAATTTTGAAAGTTATTTGTCTCCTTAATTTTTATTAGTCATGAGGAAAATTGCTAATAAAATAGTTCTGTGAATAAACAGGGTTGTATGTTCAAAACTTAGGGGGTGGGAGGGATACTGGGATCCGTGGTGGTGGGAAATGGACACTGGTGGAGGGATGGGTATTTGATCATTGTATAATTGAAACCCAAGCACAAAAATTTGTAAGTCTACAACTGTACCTCATGGTGTCTCACTAATCAAAATTTAAAAAAAAAATGCTATTGATGTCTAATCTATGTCTTGCAGAGACATATTTTGGGATTTCTTGTAAATAATGTAAATAATGGTGAGATTTATTGATACACAAACAGTAAGTAAAAGAACATAAATGAATAACACCTGAGTAGGTCCAGTCACCATCTTTGAAATATATGGATACCAGGCAGGAATGTGCAGTGAAAAAACAAACACAGAGGTCCTGCCTTGCATATATGAAGGGTCCTAGGTTCAATACCCAGCACTGCAAGGAAAAAGAAAAAAAAAACAAAACAAAAGCAGTGAACCAGTAGACAAAAAACAAAATGACTGTCACTTGTCATCCCGTTGTTCATCGATTTGCTTGAGTGGGTGCCAGTAATGCCTCCATTCAACCTGGTCGTGTGATAATGTAGTCCAATGGCGTATTGGGGGCTCTTTCAGGGTCAGGGAAAGTGAGACCCATTATTGTTACTGTTTCTGGCATATTAAATATGTCACATATAGCTTGTCAGGCTCTGCCATACAGGTGGAATACTCTCGGTAGCTTGCCGGGCTCTCCGAGAGAAATGGAGAGCTCCAGAAAAAATTGCGTTGCTCTCTTCTGAGAGCTTTGCTTTATAGTCTTTGGATCTGCCCCTGGTGCCATGTAATCTCATCAACAGTTAAGATTCAGAGACTATAAAGCAAAATGATTACTCATATTAAAAGCATATTTTTAAATTATCCTCTATATCGTACTAAACTGACTTTTGAAACACAGTAAATTATAATACCTATAATTTCTAAAACCTAAATTGAATAAATTTTATTAAAACATTACTGCTATCAAACTTAAACCAATAAAATTATAAAAGTACTACATATAGAATGATTTACTTTTTAAACCAGTGAACTAGGAAATGGTGGTCAGCTTCCACTAATGTAGTGATCTGCCGTAGCAAGTGAGCATAGATGACATACGTGGATGTATTATTAAACTGAGGATTCTGAAAAAGATATTAAAGATAAATGTTAAAAATTTTTACTTCACATCTAAAAGGAAAAACAAAATTTAACAAGGGGAAAATACTAGATGAAACCTTTAAGACAATAATTTATTTGTTAAATAACCGAGATGTCTCATGGTAGTAAGGGTATGTGTTTAAGATTTAGGACACAACTGGGTCTGAGTGCTAGTTCTACTAGTTTACTGGCTTTTATGCCCTTAGGGATGTTTCTTAAACATTGATTCTTAATTTCCTCACCTGTATAATGAGAATGATAATATGTAACTTAGAAGGTTGTTTTGAAAAAATAAAAAAGAGAAAATATATACAAAACTCCTAGCACAGTGCATGGTTAGAAATGATGGCAATAATTATCATAACAAAATATCTGTTAGGTCTTCCTTGATTAAAATAAAAAGAAATGTTAGAAAAATTAATAGCAGTGAAACTTTCAGCATTATATGTATTATATGCATATTTCACAAAGAACAGAAGAGACCACATAATAGTTTAAGAACTTTTAAATGTTTAAAGTTTTAGTGAATCATCATAAGCGAAAGGAAAAATTATTTCCAAAATCTTAAAATTCCAGCACAGTACATAATTCAAAACTTCATAGAAAATTGAATAATTAAAAAAAAGATGAAATTATGAAAAATAAGAGAGCATCAAGTAGTATTTAAAGCTGACTGGTTGGCAAGATAATTCAAAATTATAAAGTGACTTCAGTTAGAATTTTATCTGGTGATGGTTTATGAGAACAAAAAATTATCATGAGCAGGGATATCTTACTGCTAACATGTTGGATCACAGCTTTAAGAATTTTGTGTTTCCCTTGCCCTCCGCAGGGAGCTTAGGTTTATTGAGTTTTTCCCACCACAGTGCTCCCAAGGCACCCAATTCCATTAGGCACCTCCAATCCTCTGTGCTATATTTAACCTCTCCTTTGTGCTCCTCTTCCCCTATCTGTTACTCATATCTCCAAATCAGACCCTGTAACTTTTAAAGTCAAATTCTCTGAGGGCTCTGGATTCTGTATATGAAAGTGAAATACTGCTTTTCTCTTTCCTTTATGTCCTCTGCATAGTTTATTTTAGTGCAATATCCTATTTGTGTAGATACAGGAAGACAGTTAATGCTATGCTTTTGTAACATGGGAGTTAATAGACACTGAATAATATTTACTCCTGCGCATCCATCATATTCAGCAGACCTAAGCCTCACTTGCCCTTAGTTCCTAACACCCCAAAAGGGGGTGTTCTGGAAAGGGACTTGGATGGACCTAGGGCAAGCCATACATTACCCTGGCATCAGAAAGGGGCAGGCTAAGCACCATAAGACATATAAAAAGAGCACAGTCATGAAACAAACTCTGTCATGACCCAAAAAGAATGAACTGAATAAGGACTCTGCTGGGGTTAGGAAAGACTAACCAAGGACTGCAGTCTGGGATACATAACGAGATGTCCCAAGGAAGAACCACACTTTAAGCTTAATACATCTCTTACTGTGTCCAGACAAAATGACGAGAAATATTAAGAAGGACATTTAAGATGACTGTTTAAATGGATTACTAGCTGTGGAAAGGAGAAAGCAATACACCCGTAGATGAAATCCTGCCCTTGGGTGGATCTCCTAGCAGGAATCTTGAGCGCTGAGTGCGTAGATGAGATTTTGTCCTTGAGTGAATCTCCTAGAACTTCCCCTGAAGAAAGGGCTTTATATCTGTTGATTGTGTATGATAATGTTCAACCACACCTATGTGTAACTGCTACCTTTAACCCTTCATGGTTTCTCTATAACTAACTGTGAAACCTGACCAAATGGACCACTGATTACCAAAGAACCCGGGGGTTCCGTTCCTTCCTTAATCCATCGCCACTGGCCAGCCAGGGAACAGTGATTTGGTCCAAATGCACCACGGGGACTCTTGGGTCATGTGGGGTGGTGGGCCAGTGACCCCAGAAATAGCAACATCAACAAATTTCACGCTGCCATTTTTTAGCTTTTATTACCTCAATGTGTATTTCTTTTCTTTGGTTTTGCCTTACTTCACTGCCTTCATTTCCCCTCTTTACCTGTTCAACTATGTCTTGTCTCTTTTCTTCCTTTCTCTGCTTTGACTTTCCCCTCTCTTGTCTGCTTCTTTCATTTCCACCCTGCATTTCCCTTTTACTGGATATAAAAGTAAGGCGAATATACTACATTTTAATGAATGTAAACAACCAATTTTAATTTTAGATTTCTAAATTAAGCACATTTAAAATTCATAAATTAGAAAGCTATTAAAATTGGGAAGTAACAGTTTGGAATGCATTAAGCTATAAGGAAGAAGGCTGATGGAGGAGGGAGTGCTTCTGTTCTGGAATTCACACCGGAAGACAAGAACAAAACCTACATTAAAACTTGATCCTGCAGATAATATAGCTTACAGTTGTTTATTGTTCTGTTATGCTCCCAACTACAAGTAACTATAGTCTGAGAAGTCTCAATAATACTGAGAAAAGCACTACTAAGTATTCTTTGTATTTGATATCATTTTAGTTATAGCCATTGGCTGAGATATAAATTAGACAACTTCAACTAAATTCTTACTATCTTACCTGTAAAAGTATAAAATATGCTCTAAGATCATCTTTTGTTCGTGAACTGAAAAATAAACAAATATAACTGATCATAGATGAATGATTAATTTGATTGTATCCAATAAAAATTATTAATATTATTTTTGTGAGAATGGGATAATAAAAATCAAACTTGAGGCTTAAATTACCACATATTATTATAAAGTAACACTTTTGTAATATGCTGGAAGCTTTGGTTCTTTTCTACACTACTCTAGGCTGATTCTGCAAACACCTAAAACTGAGCTAACTGAGCTATATGATATTTTATGATATTTATAAACAAAAGTATTTGATGTAAGTGACAATTTCATTTTTTTAGTGACGCAAGATAATTTTTATTGGATGAACCTTGCTTAGAAATACTTGAGTGGAGAGAAAGGAAATGAATGTTCAAGAGAGAATACGGGATTCTCCAGAGTGGAAAAAGCAAACAAAGATATGTACATACAAGGAAGCAAAATACATGTTCAAGAATGTATTTTGGAACTGAAGAGAAAACTGGCCAAAGAATTTTTTTGTAAAGCATAAATATCTGTACATAAATTTTATATACAACTTTAAAGTATTTATAAATTGTCAGGATTTTAGATCCTGGGATATCAAAAATCTTTAGTTAAAAACTTCATATGGTTGGTTGACAGTTATTTCTGATATCTATATTTATCATTCAACTAAACTATTTTTTAAAGTAAAATACATACATATATATTAAAGGTATAGGGAATATATAAATTAACCATTTATATAACGACCAAGTAAATATTAATAACAATTACCCTTTCCATTCTCGTAACAAGCTGTTAATGATTCCCTTTAATACTGTCTTCTGAATGTCTTGAGGCTGAAGTAAAAAGAATTATTTAATGATTAGGATTAGCTTATTAAGTAAATTTTTTGTTTTACCCTTTTTGTGCCACACCTAGCAGTGTTCAGGGTTTACTTCTGACTTTGCTCAGAGATCACTCCTGGAGGGGATTAGTTGAACTATGTGTGGTGCCAGAGATCGAATCCAGATAGGCTGCATGCAAGGCAAGTATACTACCTGTTATACTATTACTCTGATCCACTTAAGTGAAGTTTTATATTAATTGTATCTACAGATCTGTTTCAACAGCTAAAATCAGATTTGGTGACCCATGACTTACACTTGGCTAGCATTAATTTTTTGCCTGAGAGTCTAGGGAACATCACTGATATATTCCCTTTGTAAATGTGCAGTGTACAACCTGAGCTGCTGGAGAAAATCATGAAGATGAATTCAGGAATGCTTAACAGTATGAAATGGCTACATATACTTGCATACAATTAAACTCATTATTAAAGTGGAATCAAATTATGTTTAATAAAGATATGGTAAGATCTTTCAGTATAAGATTTTGAAATGGTAAATAATATCCCTTTATAGTTTAATGATTCAAATACTAAAGCGGGTCTAGAGATAGCAGAGTAATTAAGGTACATTACTTTGCATGTCACTGACCCAGATTCAATCCCCAGCACCACATTTGGTTTCCTGAGCACTGTAGGAGTGACAGAAACCCCTGAGTATAGAGCCAGGAGTAAGTGCTGAGCACTGCCAGGAAAGGCCCCCCAAATGAAAACAAACCAAATCAAATGCTAAAAAATACTTATTTCCTATCAAGCATGTCAAATAAGAGTATTTGAATAAAAAATTTTAGTTGGTATATTATTTATTCACGTTTGCCTTGCATACAGCCAACCCGGGTTCTACTCCTCCGTCCCTCTCGGAGTGCCCGTCAAGCTACCGAGAGTATCCCACCTGCACGGCAGAGCCTGGCAAGCTCCCTGTGGCATATCTGATATGCCAAAAACAGTAACAAGTCTCACAATGGAGATGTTACTGGTGTCCGCTTGAGCAAATCGATGAACAATGGGAGGAAAATGCTACAGTGCAATTATTATTTACAACAAATATTACTTAAAATAATTAAAAATTCCATTAATTAAAAGCTTCAAATGAATCACTAAAAATTTTTGTGTCATGTTATATGAATGAATCAAATGCCAAGAAAACAAGCATAGGAATATGGATTTGTTTTAAAATCTACACCATTTCTTCTAATGTGTGTCTATAAACATTCATTCAACTCATGTAGTCTAGAATTTTGTTTCTATGTCTATATGCATGGAGAAAAAAATCATTCCTTTCTTTTCCTCTGCTAACTATGACCCTTCACACCCAGAAGGTAAATACCAACACTGGCTCAATTAAGCACTTAATATTTGTTCCTAAACAGTAAAAGATAAAAACCAGGCAATGTCTCAGTTAGATACGCTTTACATTTATGACATAATGACAGTGACAGTCTTTCAGTATTTCCCTAGTTCATTTATTTTTCTTCATTCAAAGCAACTACATCCAACCATCCTTAAATTTCCTAGACCTCCTTCCTATAACCACTCTCAGTCATACATTTGAGAGTGAAAGAAGATACACTCAAAGGAGGATAAATTCCCTGTCCCACCATCAATTCAAGTAATGCACCTGCATGTGCACTTGACCAAATCCCAGACCCTTCATTTGGGTCTGATACCTATAATCACACACCTCATCATATATTTGGGCCAGCTGTGTCCCTCCACTGAGAGTCATATGTCCTATAACATGGTGCTCTCCTTCAGAGTCCAATTCCAGATTCATCCCAGTATACTACATGACTCCTTAAGGTTTCCCTTACCCTGATAATAATTTTATAAAGTAGTTCTCCCCACTTACAAATTTGAATACGTGGTTTGTTTCCTGCCAAGATTCTAAAATACTGCCCAAGTTAAAAACTCTTCACTTGAAAGCACGTCTATAAAAGATTGAAAATAATGGCCATTTCTCAGTCCAAATCTAGTAAAAATCTCTCAGCAGCACTTGACTATGGCTAATTCTTTCCCACTTCATAGAAGGGTTTTTTTTTTTTGGCTTGTTTGTTTTTTTTGATACCCGAGTCTTACCCACCTAGTAAAATGACAATACTATTCACTCAGTTTACTTTTTCCCCTAAGTCTCTGATCCAGTATGTAACATCCAATATGTAACCTTTACTCAGAAAAAAAAATTACTCAAAGAAATTAAAGAAGATTAAGTAATAGAAGGGATATATCCTCATGGATCAAAAGAATATAACGGATTACATCAAAAGGATAGCAGTATGTGGTACTTAGAATGTGGTACCTAGAACAGGGAGGTCAGCATATCCTCGAACTTCTTTAAAACGTAAATTCTTGGAATTTATTCCAAATTTAGTAAATCTGAAACCCCATATTTATAAAATACTACTTGTAAATCTGGTACATGCTTGAAAACTACACATTCATTCAGTGCAATGCCAGTAACACCAAGTGACTTACCTCCATTTGCTGGGCACATGAGGTATGATAATCTTATTTTAGCAAGCTTATTAAAAACTGAAGATAAAGATAATATTTGTCACTTAATTAAAACAATAAAAATAATCTACCTTTTAAAATTCCAACTAAGTTTATGCCAGAATTTCTTATAAAATTATGTTACAGTAATTTTTTTTTTTTTTGCCTTTTGGGTCACATCCGGCAATGCACAGGGATTACTCCTGGCTCTGAGCTCAGGAATTACCCCTGGCGGTGCTCAGGGGACCATATGGGATGCTGGGAATTGAACCCGGGTCGCCCGCGTGCAAGGCAAATGCCCTACCTGCTGTGCTATTGCTCCAGCCCCTACAGTAATATTTTTAATAATATTTTTGTGATATTTTTGAAATACAGGAGAGAAATAAATAACAATTAGAAATAACTATGTAAAAAATACTTACAGTATTGAGTAAGGCATCATATACAGCATTCACAAATTTAGCATTAACCCCAGAGTCTTCAATAGTATTAAATGAGGTGGTGTTGTCTTTCTGCAAATTCAAATAAATAAATATGTACAACATTTTATGGCCTAGAGTTGTTTCCTAAAATTAGCGTACCAATTTTCGAAACACCAAAACAGGTAGAAGCTCGAGTCTCCTATACCTATGATATAGCATTTACATATAATCAATATACATTCTCCAATATACTTCAAGTTATCCTTAAATTAGTTATAAAACCTAATACAACATAAATGCAATGTAAGTAATTATCATTTGAAAACAATAACAAGAAAAAAATTTGTATATGTTAAGTGCACATACTCATTACACTTAACTGAGTAATAATATTGTAATTCCATCTGCAGTTGACAGGATCCATGAATGAAAATCCCATGAATATGTTGACTGTTTTCTTAATAAGATTTGAACTGTAACTTTTTCTTCATAATTTTTAAAAGTTTTAGTATGATTATAAAAAACTTTTAGAAAAAACTTGCTAAAAATTAATATGTAATAATGATTTTAACAGCCTTTGTAAGACTGAAAGAGGCTGGGTTACAGTAAAGTGGATAAGGTGCCTGTCTTGCATGCGGTCAACCTAAGACTGATCCCCTGTACCACATACAGTTCCCTGGGTATGGCCAGGAGTGACACCTGTGCACAAAGTCAGGAATAGGCTGTTCACAAAATAGGTGTGAACAGCCATAGTGCGAATTAAAAACAAAAACAAAAACCCACTCACAAAAACACCAAAACACCAAAACAAGTAAAACTGAAAGAATAGAGTCAAACATTATTAATATTTCTGTACATATATATTACAAATTGTATAACTATATTATATATTAATGTTATTTATGTCAATATTGAGCATTAAAAGAGATGGTGCTTGTAAACTACATTACCTTGGTACTCAGGGATCAAGTGGTACCTGGGATTGAACATGCACATCCTGTCTGCAAATCATGCACCCAGCTGGTTGAACAGTATCTCTTTCTGGCACGCAGAGAATTAATTTTATCTGCTTTTCTTTAAAATTTAATACTAAAAGATATGCTTTATCTATAATTACCTTAAACGCAGCATTTAGTTCTGGGAAAGAATCAAATGTTTTTAGATAAAAATCATGAACTGCTTTCCAATCTCCTGATGACTTCACTTTTTCTACATCTTCCCTAGAATAAAAAACATAAAGAAATATTACTCAGATAATACAGCTTTAGTTCTTTACAAATAAATATCAAAAACATGCAATTTAAAATGCTAGAGCTAAATATAGAAACGTGTTCCAGTTATCACATATAGTTTATGTATTTTAATATTTTAAATACCAATCCAGCTTCAAAGATACTAATAACATGCTTTCCAAAAACTTTATTCTTGACCAGCTTCTTACAATTAATATTCTTCCTTCCTTTTCCCTGATGTTCAAAATTCTGGAAAGATTTATTCTCAATTTGTCTCTACCTCTTAGTCTCATCTAGTTCTTCAAATGATTATTTGAATATTTATCAGTAGTGACATAGACTATAGATTTTTTTATAGTAGATGAAACTGCATATTTTTAAAAACAATTGGTTATCACTAATATCCTTTTGACTCAGACTTTCTTAATTTTCAACATTGTTTATCAATTGTTTTTGCTTTCAAAATTTTAGTCTTTAAGTTTTCACTCTTGGCAATGCTTTATAATGACCCACAAATTCAATCAACTTCTCACACAAAGATATTAAATTGTGTGACGTTATGACATGTACTTGACTTATGTTTCCATATAATACTGAGCCAGGACTTACTGAAAATCTTTCATAGTTTTGGGCTGGATAGGAGGGACAGGATCTGGTAGAGCTGGAGTCTTTAATTCGGATGACGATGCATCTATAGAGGTGCGCTGTTTTTGTCTAACATCAAGGCAAATTGCTGGTAGGTCTCTCACTGTGAAGTATAAAAATGAACTCAATGTAATTAAGTTATAAAATTCTCCAAATTGTAAGATATAAGGCTAATTGAGCAAAATATAGCAGGGTAGCACTGTAGCACTGTCCTCCCATTGTCCATCGATTTGCTCGAGTGGACACCAGTAACGTCTCCATTGTGAGATTTGTTGTTACTGTTTTTGGCATATTGAATACATCATGGGTAGCTTGCCCGGCTTTGCTGTGCAGGTGGGATACTCTTTTCTCTCTTTCCTTTCCAAAAGTTGTCTTTCGGGGGCGTTTTAGTTCATTTCAATGCTTTTAATGTTTACTAGCCTTCTAAATATCTACAATTTATATCTGCAGCTGTTCTTTGGAGTTTTAGCATTTTTCTTATCAATTTACAAGAAAATTTAAGAGAATTTCTCTTCATTTTTGTAGAGTTCATTGTCTTTTTGTTCTGGTTATATTAAAATAATAAACTTCTGATAATCAGTGACATTAGAAGTTGCATACTTGCATATGGTTGACCTGGGTTTAATCTCAGGAACTGCATTTGGTGTCCTGAGCCCCATCATAAATAATTCCTGAGTGCAGAGCTAAGAGAATGCCTTGAGCACTGCAAAGTATGGCCCCAAAGCCAAAAATAAAATAATAAAAAAGGATTTATAAGTTGAAGAAAAATTTGAAACATACAACAAAGAATGTGCCAGGAATATATGTTTATTGTACCAAAATTATTGAGGACAATTAACTCAAAAGAATAACGAGCTAAGAAGAACCACACAAGGAGAGTAGAGAAGAAAAAACACATGATAAATAGTGTGAGGGGCCGTAGAATAGTATGGGCGAGGCTCTTGCCATGCACATGCAGGTGAATTAGTTGAATTGATGGTGGGACAGGGAATTTATCCTCCTTTGAGTGTATCTTCTTTCACTCTCAAATATATGACTGAGAGTGGTTATGGGAAAGAGGTCTGGGAAATTTAAGGAATGAGATGGTTGGACATAGTTGCTTTGGAATGAGGAAAAATAAGGGAATACTCAAAGACTGTCATTGGCATTATGTCATAAGTGTAAAGCATATCTAAGACATTGCCTGATTTTTATCTTTTACATTAAGTGCTTAAGACAAACTTAAGACAAACATTAAGTGCTTAATTGAGCCAGTGTTGGTATTTACCTTCTGGGTGTGAAGGGTCACTGTTAGCTGAAGAAAAGAAAGGAATGATTTTTTTTCTCCATACATATAGAAATAGAAACAAAATTCTAGACTACATGAGTTGAATGAATGTTTATGGACACATGTTAAAAGCAATGATTGTAGATTTTAAATCAAATCCATATTCCTATGCTTGTTTTCGTGACATTTGACTCTTTCATATAATGTAACATAAAAAATTTTAGTGATTCATTTGAAGCTTTTAATTAATGGAATTTTAAAATTATTTATTTTAAATAATATAATAAATAATATTTATTGTGAATAAACAATATACCAAGTACATTTTTCTTATTCAAATATTCTTATTTGACATGCTTGATAGTAAATAAGTCTATTCAGCATTTGATTTGGCTTGTTTTCATTTGGGTTTGTTTTATATCTGCAAATATATAAAGCATTATTTTCTTTGGGGTTGGGGGAGAGGTTCCCAAGAGTGTTCAGGGGACCTGGGCTCACCATACTTGGTCATTCCAGTCAGGTGGCTCAATGCTGGGGACTGAGGATGTGGAGCTTCATAGGTCCTGTGGTATTAGGGGCCTCCAGCGTCATAACCAGCATTGTCCAGAAGTTTGCAGGGCAACAGACAGTGGCAGTGAAGTAGTGGAGCATGTTTTGCCAGAGTTTGAAATTAGGTTCTAGTCATGCAAAGCATGTGCTCTTGACAAATGAACTATCTCCTCAGCCACTGCTGTAGCTTGTCTTTTCATTCTCTAAACAGTCTTCCTGTAATAAAGGTTTTAAATTTTGATGAAGTCATAATTAGAAGTATGTGGTACAGTTTCCTGGTAATAGGAGATTCTCATGTTATTTTGTTGTAGACTTCTAATTTGGTAATACTCAGAGAGCATATTCTATAGTACCTCAATTCTTCAGAAAAAAATTTTGGTACCTCCCCAGTGGTTCTTGGGACCTCCTGGCCACGCTTGACAATGACCCAATGGCGTGGGTCAGAGAGCTTTAGAGTTTGGATCCTACAATGCTGTGATGCTACAGCCCAACAATGCTGGGGCACAATACAGTCAGATCCAGTGCTACTGCGGGGGACATATGGAGCCAGAGATTGAACTCTAGGCTTTGCACATGGCAGGCATATGTCTGCCTTTTATGAGCTATTTCTATACTACTAAAGTTTTGTGAGGCTTGTTTTATGGCCCAGGCCATGGTCATTGTTGGTCTATGTTCTCTGGGTAATGGAGACGCAAATTGTGCTGTTTTGGGGTGGGATATTCTATAACTGTTGGTTAGATATTGCTGGCTCATGATGTTGATGTGTCCTTCTATATTCTAGTCCTTGATGATTTCCTATCTAATTTAATCAAATCCACAATTGAAGTTCAAAATTTCAACACCCAATTTTGAACTTTTCTGTTATTCTTTTTTTAGGTTCTATTGGCTTTTATTTCACTTATCTCACAATTCTGGTGTTTGTTATATACACACTTATGCTTGTTGTCTTATTAGTGACCATCCTTTTTAATCATGATAAAACATTCCTTCCAGCTCTAGTAATTTTCTTTGTTCTAAGTATTATATCTGAAAATAAAAGTATCTTTGTACATATTTTTCCTTGCTTACTTTCAATATATCCATATTGTTTTAATTTTAGAAGTGAGTTTCTTATAGACCATATATTGTTAGATCATGCTTTTAAATCTATTCTTATAATCTCTGCATTTTGATGTACTCAGAACATTTACATTTAATGTCTCTGTCACTGTCCTGTTGTTCATCGATTTGCTCGAGCTGGCCCAGTAACGTCTCCATTGGAGACTTTCTTGTTACTGTGTCTGGCATATCGAATACGTCATGGGGAGCTTGCCAGGCTCTGCCGTGCGGGCGAGATACTCTTGGTAGCTTGCCGGGCTCTCTGAGAGGGGCAGAGGAATCGAACTCGGGTTGGCCATGTTGGCTGCGTGCAAGGCAAATGCCCTACCGCTGTGCTATCGCTCCAGCCCTACATTTAATGTAATAAAATTTATATATTTAAATATAAATATGACATTTTAATTTCGTTTGTTTTAAGCTATTATTTTTCCTGTTTTCCTGTGAATTAATTAAGCATTATATTTCTATAATTCCATTTTTATTTTCTATTGTGTTTCTGAATGGTTGTTCTAAATAGTACATTAAATATAATTTACCACAGATTCTCCATCTTATCACTTTACCAGAAAGTAGAACTCATATTTCCTTTTTTATATATATCTTTACCCTCCTGTTTATGATTATACATTTTATTTACATACTTCAAATATCTCACCAAGTGTTATATTTTTGTTTCTGCTATGAACCATAATTTAGGAAATTTAAAAAGAAAAGGAAACTACTGCATTTACTTATTTTTGAATAAATTCTTTTTATATGTTAAGGTTTCTTATTTTGCTGTTTCCATTTTGTTTAAATATCCTCTTAATATATTTGCTCAGGGAAAGTCTACATCCAAAAATTTCTCTTTATGAGAGAATGTCTTGATTGCCCCTACTTCCTCAACCCTCCATTACTGAAAAATATTCTTGGAGGGTGAAGGGTTCTAGGTTGGCAGTTCATCGGTCTCTTCTTTCTGTATCCATGGTCACTAAAGTGAAATCTGTTATTTAAATTTCCTAGCCCATTCCCTCCATTTTAGATATCATGTTTACCCGGGTATTTTTCAATACTTTTCTGTGTGTCCTTTGAGAGTTTAATTATTATACATCTTAATGTGGGTTTTTATGGACTGTTGTTACTCAGCTTCTTGAATCTATAGATTTGAGTTTCCTGTGAAATATAGGAAGTATCCAGTAAAATATTTTAGGAAACATTCAGCCTTGCTCAGGGATTACTCTTGGCAGTGCTCAGGGAACCATATTTGGTGCTGCGTCAGTCACATGCAAGGCAAGCACCTTATCGCTATACTATGTCTTCATCTTTCAGTCATTTCTTTTAGATTTTTTTCAGTCTACCTATTTTGCTTCCCCTTCCAAGACTCCAATAACAAGAATGTGAGAACTTACGGCCTTACATAAAACTTTATAGCTTTACAGAATACTAAGACTATTAAAGTCTTACTACTAAAACTATTTTACTGTCCATTTACTTTCAATTGTTCCAATTGGGTGATTGAAACATTATTTTACAGTCTATTTTATCTCAATTGTGCCAATTGAATAATTTTCATCATTTTATTATTATAGCTCCCCTCCGATATAATTCCTATGCCCTCCAATCCACTGTTATGTCTACCTATTAAGCTTTCTATTCTGGAGATTGCATTTTATCAAGTATTAATATTTCAAAATCAGTGGAACCATATATATATATATATATATATATATATATGAGCGATAGCACAGCGGTAGGGCGTTTGCCTTGCAGGCAGCCAACATGGCCGACCCGAGTTCGATTCCTCCGCCCCTCTCGGAGAGCCCGGCAAGCTACCGAGAGTATCTCGCCCGCACGGCAGAGCCTGGCAAGCTCCCCGTGATGTATTCGATATGCCAGACACAGTAACAACAAAGTCTCCAATGGAGACGTTACTGGGCCTGCTCGAGCAAATCGATGATCAACGGGAGGGCCTTTACCTTTACCATATATATTTTTTGCCTTTTGGGTCATACTCAGCAATGCTCAGGGGTCACTCCTGGCTCTGCACTCAGGAATTACTCCTGGAGGTGCTTGGGGACCATATGGGATGCCGGGGATGGAACCCAGGTCGGCCACGTGCAAGGCAAATGCCCTACCCGCTATGCTATCGCTCCAGCCCTCAATATATTTTAAACTCTAAGATAATGAAACATAAAGCTCTATCAAGTATC